ACATGGAGGCAATGTTACAAATAGAAGAGGAGGAGCGACGGATAGCAGAGGCAGAACAGGCGGTGCCTACACAACCGCGCAAGCGCAAACCATTGAGCCGTGTGCCTTCAGAAAATGCTCCAGCTCGCAAGATGGGGAAGCAGACTCGTAGCCCTGCCCCTAGCAAGACTAGGCCTTGCGCAGTCGAAGACACGCTACCTAAATCGGGTAGTACGCGCGCGCCTACTACTAAGAGAGTTGAGCATGCGGTGATGGACTCTGAAGACGATGACTTTGGTGTGATAGATGAGATGGACATTGACACTCAAGCTCGGACAAAATCACCTACGCCTCCGAGAAAAAGGCTACGTGACAAGACGCCAGTGTCAAATACAGATGGGCCTGCGAGCCAGACACAGCTACCCATACGCTCTCCAGTGAAGGTCTTGCGAAGTCCCAGTCCACATCAACCTGAGCAAGACTCTATTCCTACCCCAGCAAAGTCACAGTCCCCCAGGAAGAATACCAAATCTGTGCCCTTGTCAGTATCAGCGCCCAGCAAGCCCATCCCAAGTTCAGCAGAATTATCAAAGGAAAAAAAGAGTGAAATCAAAAACACCATTGATGCATTCTTGAAAACTGAGGGTCAAAGGCTGCAAAGCCATCTCAACACAGCGAGTCGGGCATGGGAAGATGCCCGCGCTGCCTTTGTTGCCCATGTCTCCGAGCATGGTATACCTGACCCTAGCGAACAGGAAAGGATGGGACGCGCTCGCTCGCGAAAGGATGCGGTAGAGCAGTTGATGGTCTTGGAGACTAAGCATAGTGATCTTGTAGATGAGCGGCAAAGGGTAAAGCAAAAACTTGAAGACGATTTGGACATGGGTCATTTCGACGCAGCAGATGGTGAAACTCTCAGCAGGCTTTTCAAGATGATCGAGGACATCCAAATCCAGATGTACTACCTGCTGGATCTGGCAGCCATCAAGCAGCAACCCAAATCTGTCGTAAAGGCAGAGTCGAAGAGCAGCCGCAACGTGGTTATCCAATCAACTCAAACAAGCCCAGTGCGATCATTTCTTGATGATTCAAAGGAGTCAGGGCCAAATCGGATCCCTCAAACACAGTATCCTAAGCAGAGCGACACTGTTGTTGAAGAAGTGTTTACACCAACTCGCCGTATACGATTCGCCGAGGAACAGGTGGCTGCCTCTCCACTACCTCCTCCAAACCTGGGTGTTCGTTCCCGCACAGAAAATGGTGCGACAGGAATGCACAACCACATACCAAAAGATCGATCTCACCGCATACCTGAGACGCCAGAACACGGGCGTTCTCAGAAGAAATCAAAGCCAGTAGCCCATCATGATACGCCTGATGATTTCGAAGACATGGAATTTGAGGAAGATGAGAGCCTGTTTACTCACCATATGGGCGAGCTTCATCAGCCCATCGAGCTAAGTGATGATGACGAGTTTGGCGCGGACGACGATGAATTCCTCCATGAAATCAACAATATCGAGAACCAGGTACCAGGCAACTTCAACTGGAAAGGCGAACGAACCGGAGCCAACCCGTCAACAAACACTCGCGAGGTATTCCGTGAAACTTCCCCGAACAAAGCCGCGCCAAAACAAAATCAACAAGCAACACCGAAGAAACCGCAGCTGAACATGCCGGCCAAGAATCACCCCGGAATGAACTATCCTTGGTCCCAAGATTTGAGGACGGCACTCATTCGTCGGTTCGGTCTGAGAGGTTTCCGGCCTGGGCAATTGGAGACTATTAACACTACACTAGCTGGCAATCACTGCTTTGTGCTGATGCCTACTGGAGGAGGAAAGTCACTCTGTTATCAGCTTCCCTCGGTTATCGCTTCAGGCAAGACACATGGGGTTACCCTAGTTGTTTCTCCGCTATTGAGTTTGATGGAAGACCAAGTCGAGGCTTGCAGACAGCGTTTCGGCATGCAGGCATTCCTCATCAACGGAGAGTCAACCGCAGCTCAGAAGAAAATGATCATGGACGGCTTGCGCGAAAGGGATCCTCAGCAGTTCATCCAGATACTCTACGTGACACCCGAGATGCTTAGTAAGAACCAGAGGATGATCAGCGCTTTTCAGCAATTACATTCTGGAGGCAACCTTGCCAGAATTGTCATCGACGAGGCACATTGCGTCAGCCAATGGGGTCATGATTTCCGACCAGACTACAAAGCACTTGGAGACGTTGTTCGACAGTTTCCTGGCGTTCCGGTACTTGCGCTGACTGCAACTGCTACCAAACTTGTCCGTTCTGATGTGGTATCCAATCTTGGTATCCAAGGCTGCCAGGAATTCTCCCAGAGCTTCAATCGCCCTAATTTGTCCTATGAAGTGTTACCGAAAGGAAAAGGCATCATCAACAGTATCGCGGAGCTGATCAAGGAGCGATATGTCGGAAAGTCTGGTATTATCTACTGCCTATCACGGAAGAGCTGCGAGCAAGTAGCCCAAAAGTTGTCTGACATGGGTATCCGTGCCTACCATTACCACGCTGGTATGGACTCGGCCGATCGGTCTGAAGTTCAACGCAAATGGCAAAAGAACGAGTATCATGTCATCGTGGCCACAATCGCCTTCGGTATGGGTATTGACAAAGCCGATGTACGATATGTCATTCACCACTCACTACCAAAGAGTTTGGAAGGCTATTATCAAGAGACTGGACGTGCTGGTCGTGATGGTAAGCGATCGGAGTGCTACCTGTACTACCTATATGCGGACTCGAGGATCTTGCGCAAGATGATTGATGAGGGCGAGGGCAGCAGAGAGCAGAAGCAACGACTAAGCGACATGCTACGAACTGTGATTCAATACTGTGAGAACAAAGCCGACTGTCGACGCGCTCAAGTGCTCGGATACTTTAGTGAAGCATTCGATCCCGCGAAGTGCAACTCGACATGCGACAATTGCCGATCGGATGCCACATTTGTTACAAAGGATCTTACAGAATACGCTGCCATGGCCATTAAGCTTGTCAACCGGATTCATGAGGACAATGTCACAATGCACCAATGCGTAGATGCCTTCCGTGGTGCCGGTGGTGCCAAAATCAAGAGTGCTGGATTGGAAGAATACGGATGGGGCTATGGCAAAGACCTAGACAGGGGTGACAATGAGCGCATCTTTCAACAACTGCTGGACGCTGGTGATCTTAAAGAGAAGAGCAAAGTGAACAAGGTTGGCTTTGCGACAAGCTACCTACACGTATGTATTCTATGTTTGCTGCATATTTTGCCTACTGACATTCTTAGCCTGCTTCGACACGCAACGATTACGAAACTAAGCGGAAGCAGCTGAAGTTGCAAGTACGCTCCTCACCTGACAAAGCATCTGCGAAGGCATCTTCGAAAGCGCCTGCTGCAAAGAAGACGAAGAAACAGCAAACACAGTTCCCATCAACCAACGTCGATTCTCCTGTGCGCGGGAATAAGCAAAAGATAAGGTCATTTGCTTATAACCAGGATGACGACGACGATGACGACGACGATGTCTTTGATGCGCCACGCCATCCTACCCGCAAACCGGCCAATCGTAGTTACCAAGCCGACGGTTTCACGGTTGGTGATGATGATGATGATGGCTTTGCACCAGTACGTGTGGCCAAACCATTGAAAACGAAGAAAGCGAAGAAACTCGGAACTCCCATCACTACAGACCAGCGGACTGCCGAGCTCACTGAGCTGCAAAGCGATGTCTTGAGAGATTTCATGACTGGGGCCAAGAGCATGAGAACAAGTATACAAGAAAGAAAGGGCCACCGCGAGGCCATCTTCACAGACACAATACTTCGTGAAATGGGCCTTGATCTGCCACGAACTCTAGACGAAATGAAGACCATAGCGGGTATCCGGCCCGAGATGGTGGATCGTTACGGCAAGTCGTTCTTGAAGTTGATCAACAACACGAGGAACTTTTACGGAGACGACACGCCTGTCCCTCGCAATCCACAGCTTCGCAATAAGCAAGCTCAAAGCTCTCGGACTGTCTATGAGCTTGACAATGATGACAATGATGATAACGACGATGACGAGGAAGTGGATGACCAGAACCACCGGCTTGTTGTAGACCTTTGTGGCGACGACGATGACGATGACGACGATGTAGAAGAAGTAGATGGTCCAGTCCCCAATGGCGAAGAGTTCGGAGACGACTCATCCTACGGTGATGTCGATTTCGAAGACGACGATGACGATGGCGAAGTACATACAAGTCATCACTTCAGCCACGCTCCAAACGCAGATGTTGCAGACTTCAACAACCGGTACACGCAGCTAGGCGGGGGAGCAGCCCCCGCATCCAAGGCTGCAGCTAAAGCGCCGGCGTCAAGATCGGGGTACAAGAAGAAGGGGACATTCAAGAAGAGGACATCGGGAAGCTTTGGTAACAAGAACTTTGGTGGGGTCAAGAAGCGTGCGGCTAGGGGGTCTAGCAGTAGGACTTCTGCAGGGGCCAGTAATAGGCCCAGGGGTGGAGGTGCTGGCGGAGGTGGAGGCGGAGGCGGGGGGCCGGCAGGTGGTGGTGGTGGATGGGGATCCATCATGGCCATGCCTACCTGAGGGTGGGGGGGTTTGATGAGAAATAGAAGAAATATGGTAGCGACCATGTTTTATTTCGCCATGTAGTAGTAAGTCTTGCAAGGGCGATGGATTTTTGGGGTTCCCACTGGCCTGTGTGTGTTTTTTCTTCTTGTTTGGACAACTCAATACCCACATCCCTTTACTCATTCTAGTCATAGCCATGCATACATTGTTAGCGGGAGTATGCAATGTATCCATTTATCTACACATGCATACAAGGAACATTTGATACTTTCAAGAATAGTTAATAGTATTCATTACGAACATTACTGTGGGAAAAACGGAGAAACAGAAAGGTATATCTGGATAACAACACCCGCCGCGTCTCCACTTGCCCCCAATCCACATTAGAGTAAGGATTTTTTTTTTTTTACAAACCACCATGGCTGTGCGTAGTACCATGGTGTCCCAATCCTAGCGCATTCTTCGTCTTATCCACGATGCTGCCGCCGGTAGAGCCGTGCACGTTGTTGTCCTTGGAGCGACCGAGCTTGTCCATGGTCGACTGCGTGTGCGTCTTGGACGAGTCGGGTTGGACTTCGCGGGCGACTTTGTCGGCGGTGCCCGTGAGGGACTCCTTGATCTTTGTGCCGGTGGATTTGGTGGATTGGGGTTGCTGTAGTAGGGGGGCGGTGTTAGTGTGTGGTTTTTTGGGTGGGGGGGAAGAGTACCATGGCCTCGCCGAGCTTGGTGTGGGTGTCTTTGCGGAATGCGTCGGTCATTTTGAAGGGTTTGTTGGTTGGTGGTTTTGGGTTGGGGTGTTAGGTTTGTGAAGAGGGTTGTTTGGACTTGTAGTTGTAGTTGTGATGGAGAATTTACTGTGGAGCAAAAGAGTGTTTATATGCACTTTTCTACACCTTCTGCACTTGATCATTTACGTCATGTTTCGTGGTTGCCGTCTATGGTGACAGCAATAAGATTGGATGTACACTGAGAAGGTGCGCGGGTGGTGACGGCGTGGCTACAGGTGCGATATGTCGCCAACGTCATATTCAGCTCGTGACTTGAGCAAGATGAAGCAAGATTCGAGATGGTTGCTTGACAGAGTGTGTTTAGTTGCTTGGGTTGCATGGCGAGACGGGCTGAGAAGCAGGGATGGGGGGTGAAGACGGGTGGCGAGAAGTGAAAGCAAGTTATGGGGACACAGGGGGGACGGGTTGGCTGCAAGCTGCTCAGGTGTCAGGGTGGTGGTGATATGTCGATATGCTCGAGTACTGGACGTGGAGAATGCGAGTGTGCGGTAGCAAGTAGCACGAGCATAGTATACTACAAATGGCAATGCCTGCTGCGTTGCGATAGGCTTGGGCGTGTAGGATTACAGGTCCCTGCGTTCGAGTACTCTGATGACGTCACCCGTCACGTTCCCGCGTGCAAGGTGCGCATGCAAGCCGCTGCCAATTTTTAAACCAACAGCATGCATTGCTTGCTTGCTTACTTATTTGCAGCGTCTGCCATGTCGGCAACGCGATTCTAGATGAGATGGGCGCTGCAGGGCCGCCCGGCAGCCGGCAGCCGGACGCGTCTGGGGGACTCTGTGAGGAGGAGGCACCACGTGTGGAATGCATTAGGCGGTGGGCGCAAAAGAAAAGGACAATGTACATACGCCTTTGCACGCCTTGCTACCGCGTAGCGCCACACACTGGTCTGCGGCCGGACTTCAACAAATGGATTCCAAGCAATGGCGGTATGCGCTGTTGAGGCGCGCGTCGCGTGCAGCACTCTGTCTACTGCGGTGCGCCCAAGGGGGTTTGTACTCTAGGGGCCGGGCGTGCGAAAGAGCGGTCGCTGGCTTGCTGGGTGGGCCGAGGCGGATGCCGTACGCAAGCCGCCACGTCGCCGGGGGAAATGCAGAGGCTGGGTATCGACATGAAGCACGACGGTCTAATGCAGGAACACGCCGGCGGCTGGCCCGTATGCAGAAAGCCAGTATCCCCATCTACGATAGCGCGCGGCTTGATTGGTTGTGGGCCGGGCCCGGGGCATGACGTTGGCGTTCCAGGCGGTTGCTACAGTTTCCGCCGTGTTGATGCAGCCTCCAACCACCTCCCAGCCACACGCCCAACCTCACCATTTCCCCAGCAGCAAAACTACCTTTTGCTGCAGTCGTCCAGAGAAGTCACCCTCCACGCTACCCACCTCCTCCACCCACTCGCACACCCTTTTTTTCTGTCTACACAGGAGACATCTGACCGTTGTTGTCACAGTGCATATCCAGACCGACGCTGCAAGAGCGGCTAGGCCAAGAGTACCGCCGAACTCCATTCAACTTTTATACTCTTGACACAACTCCACCGCCGCTTGCACTCGACCACCCGCTTATGAAAGCGCAACAGTCTTCAGCAATCGTCTGAGTGCATCCCGCCGCTCGCATCACCCGGCCCTCTGGGGGCGCAGGGAGACCAACCACCACCACCACAAGGCCCGCTAGAGGCAATTGAAGAACACACATCTTCACAATGGCAAACTTGAGGTTCGCCGTTAGCATGCAACGTACGCTTCTCTCTCCTCGCTCGAGACAGAATTGGAAAGAAGAAAAAAAAAGGGATCAAAACTAACAACTCGTAGGGTTAATACCGTTTCTTGGCTTTCACCATGTTCTCATGATTCTCATCGCCATTGCGATAATATTGCTCTGTACGTCGGCACCGAAATATTGCATGCGACCAAAACTAACAATCCGCAGCACTGCTACTGGCAGGATGCTCATCCACATCTCCCCTCATTCCCGGCATCTTCCTCATCTCCATGTGGTACGAACAATTCACTCCCACCTATTCACCCGACCAGGTCGACCCTGGTGTCACGGCTGCCATTGCAAACATTGTCGGCAACGCCCAGCTCGGTGTTCGTGTCGGCTACTTTGGCATCTGCATCAACCGTGATGGCGGTGGTTTCATTTGCTCCAACAACGCCACTGCTCTTGTCGACAACGTGTCTGTCGACCAGGACCCCCTCAACCTTGTCTGGGTAGCCGCTACCTTCAAGGATGCCGTCGTCTTCCCCTATCTGCTCATCGTCGCCATCATTCTTGCCTTCTTCACCTTCATCCTCCTCGCCACTTTCCCCGGATGGCATGAGGAGAGAGACGAGCGCACTGGATCCGACGTCGACGTCAAGCCATTCCCCTCCAGGCCCGTCTCCCAGGTCGCTCTCGCTCTCATCTTCATCTCGTCCATCTTCGTCCTCGTCTCCGTCTTATGGCAACATACCGCCTCAGTCGCAGCTGCAACAATCGTGCAAGATCTCGGCAACGGTAGCGTCAAGTCTGGTGTCGGCACATCTGCCATGGTCCTTGGTTGGTTCGGTTTTGTGCTGCTCATCATAGTAACCATTGGGTTGCTTGTCATGATTCTCAGCATCATTGTCCTCGACCGCCTCACCGACAATGACTAAGCGTATTGACCGGACTGCGAATGTACTTCGCAGCATGATTTCGGAAAGATGAGCATTTTGTTGGTGCGATTATGTAATTCGACGCCGACCTGATTCGGCTTTTCCTTCTTCTGCTCAGTTATTACATACCCTTTTTTTTCCTGCGACGCGAAAGCAGTTCGCTGCGTAGAACGATATTTTGTGGCATACCCGGCGTTGAGATTGGAGTGGTTATGTTTTGTTTTGTTTTTGCATCAGATCGATTTGATCCACGAAGGCGAGTTGAGAGGCTCAGCGAGAAATGTTAAACGAATAGGAGGAATGATTGAAATCAAAAATGGACGCTGGAATGGACTGTATCTATGTAGTAAATGAGAGAATGAGAATCGAACACGTCAAATCAAGAAACTTGAGCCACATCATGGGTGATATATCTGTAAAAGGATAGCAATACAGGGCTGCATGTCAGATCGCAATAAACGCTCGGGTGGTTGAAACTCTATGTTGGCGCAATTCAGCTGCAACATGAGAACTGCCTTTGTGGATGCGCATCCGGGGTGTTTTCCCATGGTGTGAGGGGCAAAACGCGGGGAACGGGCAGGGCTACACAACCTTGTCCAGTGTGGCTTTTACGACCCAAAAACGGAACATTTCTCATCATCAAGTCAACCTCCCATTAACAAAGCAGTATTGGCAACACTTATTTGCAGCTTTTCTCGTCACAAAAAATGTCCGATTCGCTCCGACAACCGGCTGCACAGGTGCTCTTGTGTCGGCGCTATGCCTAAACTAGACTAGAGCATACTATCGGCGTCCAAAAAATTGGTGGGGGTTAGATGAATGGAACTACAGGTACTCCGACTGTCGAAAAGTTTAAAATCTCGCGCTGCGTCTACTCATCTTTTCTCCTCCCCCTCTTTTCTCCAACCCCTCACCTTCATTCTCTCACACCCTACCGCACATCATGTCTAACTACGCACTTCCAAAGTCTCACCAGGACGTATGTCGTCTCTCGCTTCAAAGACAATGCACACGACGCTAACTCGCCACAGCTCATGGAGAAGTCCCTGGTGGACACCGACCAGGAGGTCGCTCAGATCATGGCAAGTCCAGCAGCAGTCTGCCTTCCAAACAGTCTGCTAACTACTGTTACAGGAGAGGGAAATCCAGCGTCAACGTGAATCCATTCTGCTGATCGCCTCGGAGAACGTTACCTCCCGCGCCGTCTTTGATGCGCTCGGCTCACCCATGTCCAACAAATACTCCGAGGGCTACCCCGGCGCCCGCTACTACGGTGGTAACGAGCACATCGACTCGATCGAGCTACTCTGCCAAAAGCGTGCTCTTGAGACCTTCCGCTTGGACCCCGAGAAGTGGGGTGTCAACGTGCAATGCTTGAGCGGTAGCCCAGCAAACCTGCAGGCTTACCAGGCCATTATGAGGCCGCACGACAGGCTGATGGGTCTCGACCTGCCTCACGGTGGACATTTGAGCCACGGCTACCAAACACCCCAGAGGAAGTGCGTATTCACAACCAGGCGCATGTGTATTGAATCAAAGCTAACAGCACATAGGATCTCGGCCGTTTCTACATACTTTGAGACCTTCCCCTACCGTGTCAATCTCGAGACTGGCCTCATCGACTATGATCAGCTCGAGCAAAACGCCCTCATGTACCGCCCCAAGGTCCTTGTCGCAGGTACTTCTGCCTACTGCCGTGAGATTGACTACAAGCGCATGCGCGAGATTGCCGACAAGGTCGGTTGCTACCTCCTCATGGACATGGCTCACATCTCTGGTCTCATTGCTGCCGGTGTCAACAAGTCGCCCTTTGAGTACTGCGACATTGTCACAACCACTACCCACAAGTCTCTCCGTGGTCCCCGTGGTGCCATGATCTTCTTCCGCAAGGGTGTACGTAAGACTGACCCCAAGACCGGCAAGGAGACCCTGTACGACCTTGAGGGACCCATCAACTTCTCCGTCTTCCCTGGTCACCAGGGTGGCCCCCACAACCACACCATCACTGCTCTGGCTGTTGCCCTCAAGCAGGCCCAATCAGACGACTTCAAGCAGTACCAACAGCAGGTCATCAAGAACGCCAAGGCTCTCGAGGTTGCTTTCAAGTCAATGGGCTACAAGCTCGTTACTGACGGCACTGACAACCACATGGTGCTCCTTGACCTGAAACCCTTCTCTCTCGACGGTGCACGTGTCGAGGCTGTTCTCGAGCAAGTAAACATTGCTTGCAACAAGAACACCACACCTGGTGACAAGTCCGCTCTTACCCCCATGGGTATCCGTATCGGAGCCCCCGCCATGACTTCTCGTGGTCTCGGCGAGGAGGACTTCAAGAAGATTGCCAACTACATTGACACCTGCATCAAGCTATGCAAGAAGATCCAGAGCGAGCTTCCCACAGAGAACAACAAGCTCAAGGACTTCAAGAGCAAGGTTGCTTCTGGTGAGGTTCAGGAGATCAACGACCTGAAGAAGGAGATTGCCGCCTGGGCTGTCACCTTCCCTCTGCCCGTCTAAAGGCAGGGTGAAATTAAATGGTATTAAAGGGCGTAAGACGGCGTTTTTGGTCATGGGCAACGGTGTTTCAACAAAAAAAGAATCCGGACCGGAGTGTTCAACAGCTCGTACGATATTTGGGATTGATGATGTCATGAGATGGGAATGAAGGGAAGATACCAGTAGTGCCATGCAAAAAGAAAAAAAGAAAGCCTCTTGGGCGACAAAAGCAGTACTACTTTTCGTGTAAGTGGCCTGGCTGGTCCATTGACCAGATTGCTGCTTAACCAGCGGTCGTTACCAAAATGAAGAAGAGATTATTTGATCAATCAGTTTGTTTGTGTGATTCATTCATACGTGCCTATGCATTGTGTTCGCTTATGCGATTCTATCACAAGGGTAAAGAAGAAGAAGAAGAAGAAGAAAAAAAGAGAGAGAAATCAAGCAATCATCTAAACAGATTGCCAGGAAATGCTAAATGTAGCAGAGTGATCTCCACCCGCATACACCGTTTGCTGGGTGCTTCCACGCGCAACCTTGTCGGCGCTCCAGTTGGCATTGCCACCCGCAGCAAGCAGGCCATCTGCACTAGTAAAGCCCGTGGCAGTGCGTACATTGTTACCGCACGCCAGGGCGCCACCAACAATGCCGCACTTGCCCTTTGAGCTCGAGAGGGTAAATCCATCCTCGCCGACCTGTGTAGCCGAGAAGGTCGCACAAGTACCAGTCGAATACCACGTCCCCTTGCTAATAATGCAGCCCGTGTTCGCCCCATCGACAAGCACATTCAACTGGCCCCGCCCGCTAAACGGGGTTCCCGGCGCAGCCGTCGGCGCCGGATTGCCACCAGCCACGGTGGTTGTGATGATAGGGGGAGAGGGCTGCGACCCACTACCGTGTTTAGGCAAGTACCTAATTCCCGATTGGGGGCACGTAGATTTCGTTCCATCGGGGTTCGACGGCACGAATTCGCCTGTCTGCACGCTGCCGCGCACGTCGAAGTGGTACCAGATTTCGTTCAGGGCGCCGGAGCGACATCCCAGCGTGACTTGGACATTTGGGCGTTTGGCCTGGATGGCTTTTTGAATGGCATCAAAGGTGTACGTCTGCGTGGTGCTGGGGGTGATGCCCGCGTCCTTGAGCCACTCGTAGCTCGGCAGCGTTTTGAACAGGTCGACGGTTTTCTGGAAGAAATCGACGACTTCCTCGGTGGGCTTGTGCTCCGTGTAGCATTCGGGCTCGAGCGTCGAGATGCAGGTGCCGTGCTTGGCCCACTCGTGGTACCAGAAGGATTCGTCCTGGCCCTTGTAGTCTTTCCAGTACGTCGACATGTAGTCGAGGAGGTCGGTGGCGCCGAAGGAGGTGAGGATTGCGCTGATGTTAGAGTAGGAGCGTGTCGAGTCGCAGCTTGCGTCGTAGCTGCCGTCGCAGCGGTCGGGCCTTGGATATGCTCGTTAGTATGCGGGTTTGGGGGGGAAATGGGGAAAAACGCACCATAGCCCGTGAATCGTCCAGCTATCATCTGGTCCTGTAGCAGGCGATGCATCCCAAAACTGTGTCTGGAGTAGCTGTCCGCCGGGAGCGTTGAAACAGCATAGATTCTCCACGACAGTCGTGTTGTGGCAGCTCAGCTGTGCATTGGGGCACGCCTGGGTGAAATCACCCATGACGCGCTGGCCTCCACCGAGGATAATCTGCGCGCCGCCCACGGCGAGCTTGCCTAGAGTCCTGAGCGAAGGCATGGTTGGCGATTCTGCCGCCAGATTTGCAGACGCAGCCGCATTATGTACTGCGTCCCTCGCTGCATCTACCAAAGTGTCGATCATGATTCCCACTTTTAATTCTTCCTGTCCCTCTTTGTATGTTGAAATTGCGACCTTCTACTACTGGCAAGGATAGTCTCCAAGGTTGGAAGGTAGATATTAAGACTACCGGCTATGCAACCAAGCTACGACAAGCTTTCTTCTTTCTGGTGGAGCGAGCCCTTGCCGTTAGACAGGGCCTTGTGCTTGCACGACTTGACGTTACAGTCGCTGATTCGATAGACGGCAAATAACGATTGTGCCTCGATACGGAAGGTCGGCCGTTTAGTCTACGCAGGATATATGTATAGCGCGTAGCTCGGGAATAGTACGCGTCGAATGCGTGATGCGGATTCAACGGAGTGACCGACAGACAATTCTCGTGCGACCCGACTGGCTCGTTACAAGGAGTGTAGCAATAAAAGGCTACTGTATATGAATGAAGGGGGAGGTTGGGACAAGAAGGAAACCGGTGTTTAGCTATGCTGGAGAGAGAGAGAGAGAGAGAGAGAGATGAAAGGGTTATGAGGTACGGCCAGTCAAGGCGCGGGATTTAGGCATCACGCTGAGCAACAAGGTCACGCTGAACTGGACGGGGTCAGTGCTGGTGTTAGCAAGTCAAGATCTACGTGCATGCTTGCTTTGAGGGGGCGGCCGCCAGTCAGAGGGGCGTTTCATGGCGGTCGGCGGTGCAACGACATGTGACGACACGCGCGTGGACGATAAGGAAGGTCGATTGGCATGCATGTGGTCAGGGGTGATTGGACCCTTTCCTGATAGTGAGGCTTATCCCCCATCTTGCGCTAATCCTAAAGTGGAGTAAGTCAGGTCGGAAATCGGGGTCCGGCGTCGCCTGCCTCTCCCCGTGATGGTGGCGCAGCGCTTCCCTTCATTTTTCTATTCGGTATATATTATATGTCACATGTACGAAGAAGGATTTCACATAATTTGATCTTACCGATTGGTTGTCCTGCGACAAGTACTTGCTGCCCTGAACCGCAAAGATATTTCGCTAACACCATCGAGTAATCCGCGTTGTCATCAAGTCTAAATTCATGTATGAATGCACTTGATGGGTAGTAAAATTCGCCTCGAACGTTGAAAAGCAAAACTACAACAAAGACATAGCTTGGGAAGCTATCTCAGCGGCTACCACTCCTGGCTTCTCAGATTTCAGGCGCGCCCGTTCTTAATCATAAATGTACACCTGGTTAGTGCGTACTAGAATTCAAACTGAACAGCTTCGAGAATGATAAAAAGGTCTACCATTCCACGAATCCATACGTTTTGGTATTCACTCCCTGTTCATAACACATGAAGGCCCTCTCCTTTTTGAGAATTATCTTTCCAAAATACACACAAGGTAAGTCTACTAGAACTAACGGGAACATTGCGGAATTTCTAAAACCTTTACAGCTTGACATCATTTAATTTTTCTTTGATATATACACATATTTTGGAGACATAGCCACTAGTTTTCATTTAGACGTATCGCTCTTCTTGTGATGAGGTAGTACTTACTGAGATGTAGGGAGAGAATCTTACGATAGACAATAGAGGATATTTGAATAGATGGGACTTTGATACGAATCGAGATGCCAAAACGATCATTAGACTGATTTTGGAGAGAGAAGCCCCTGGTTCATGAGAGAGATACAAGTTTATTCTTAGCCACAATGAGGAACACCGACGGACACCGAGAAACTAGCGAAGTCAAGATTCTTAGTTGTTTTAATTGCTCTTTGCATTGACAATTGCTTATGACGCAATCGCTCGGATACAGGCTGCTATGAATAGTGGCCATTGGATATTGGATGCTGAAGTCGGTTTTGTTCAATATTCTAGTAAATCGTAGCGTGGCTTGGCTGTAGAAAAAATTCAAATTAAGGTAATGCGAATGGCTTCCGTAAGGAAAGTCTCCAAGGAGTGGTTACTACAAAAGACGCAAACACTGGCCCTTCTAATACATTTCTTCGTATCTGACGTATCTTCGAATAAGTAACTTAGGAAAAGAACAGGATCTAAGTGGGAAGACAGAGGATGAGTCTACTGGATATAGAGCGAAGGTCTTGCAGCACATGCCAAATGCTAGGTGTAACAGAGTTGCATTCAATACCGCCCTACAAAATGTCTAACTAGGTAGAAATCTGATGTATACTTAGAGGCGGGGTAAACTAGATAAATATAGTTGCCTAAGTGACTACCAGACCGGATATGCAAGATAAAGAACCGAAATCATAGACTAGGAGAGGCAAAAACCGTTCAACCCATTACCATTACGCAATAATAGTATAGCAAATCGGATACGGATCTTAGTACAGTTAGAGGGACTTGCAACATAGTGTCTAAGTGAGACGAATTACGAGGTCGTGCACATGAGACCTTGGCTATCTTTACTATGAATGTTGAAGTTAGACTAATTCCTATAGTGCTGTTGCAGCGCGCACTCTTTGCCGCTGGCAGCTCCTACGGAGGGTAGATTCTTTTGTACTTTTTCTAGCTACTCTGGCTGATCTGGCTGGTTTGACTGGCCAGTCTCTTTTTTTTCACTCGTTTTTTTGGCCAATTTCGGAGCTCGTGTTTGGCTGATTTTTTTGCTGGTAGAGATTCTGGTATTCGTCACGTGTCAAGTTGCTATCTGAAAACGGGAATTCCTATCATCTTGGTATGAATACGGCAAATCAGTGTAGAGCTTCTTAGAACTAATTAAATCGCATTTCTTCTCGCACGAAAATCCCCTCCTGGGCCGATTGTAATATGCAGCTAAATCTGCAAATAGAAGATCTTTAAAGTTCTGCGCGGTAAAGTGTTCTGCCTAGTGTAGAGGGGGATGTTACATATGTATACAAAAGTGCAGTTAGACGACCGCTGATCGACAGGTGAGGCGAAGAATAGTTTGACCGGGAACAGTACAAATTTTCTTGTCGGGTCCATGCGCCGTAAGCCGGCTGTTTTGAACTTTCCAACAGAAACATTCCAAGGCACTCTGGTACTTGGCATGACATACTGGTGCTGTGCAGGCTGAACCGTATATATGCAATGTACTATGTACACTAGGACATGCATTGGTTACAGAAAAGGCAAGGTACCAGCTACATATACGGACTGGTCACATGAAATAGTGCGAAGTAATGTCTAAAAGAGGTACGCATCAATAGTGAGTAGCATTCGGAGTCCATCACAAGACACTACTACAGTTGGGTCGCAGTGGCAAATATGTCGTGAGTGGATTTGACGTAAAAATACACTTTAGTCTTTGGGATAGCGGCCGTGCTTACAATAGTGCGTGACTGTTACATCCGAAAAGCACGCACTCCAAGATTCTGTAGGCCTGGCGGTGGGAATCTGACAGGGCACGGGTGATGAACCTGGCGGTGAGAAACCATGTCACCCTCTACTCTGTGCGAAGACACTGAATCGTCCAGCTGGCAAGACGTGGTGTATTGGTACAGGAGAAGAGGGATGGATATTGGAAGTGGCAAAAAAGAATGCGCTGTCCGCCTACTACGGGAATCCACGTGTAGGCTAGAAGCAAAGAACACGAGAGACGACAACAAGCGTGACATGACTTATGATCTCCGCCAAGGACAATGCGGCCAAACAATTCCCAGCGGCCAGTGGAGTGTTTCTATTCTTGTCAGCAACGCGCAAAATAGGGAATAGAGTTATCCCGACGGACGAAACCACGACCGAAGAGGCAGGCCATTAACTCTTCCCGGCCAAGGGGCATCGAATCGGCCCTTGGCTCTGGTCACAGCCACATTACCGCCTACGATTTTGATTCGACACTCATGCGAACACTCGATAGTCCCAGGCACGGCAATACGGACGTACAGCTTTTTTGCAACCCTGATTCCTTTTGTGAACCCTGAAGGGCACCCGCACCGGCTGTGGCGCGTTTCTTAAGTAAAAACACTGCCAAAATGTGGGGGCACGGAGGGATTCGCCTCGTGTTCGGCTCGCAAATGATCTCATGCGGGAACATTGAGGCTAATACGCCGAGCACATTGACCTCATTTCGTCCTCGATAGTGTGTATCCATGCGTCAACAGGGCCATGATGAGAGGGGGGCTTGGAGAATGAGGCTCTTTGCGTATATATAACCCGTCTGGCATGTCCGTCTTTTCGAAATCCATCACCCAGCTGACATCCACCTTCGCTACAACCTACTACTACAATATCATCATCATAATAATCTAATAATCATCAACCACCACCACCAGCAATCAACATGAAGTTCACCACCGCCGCCATCGCCACCAGCGTTGCTGCTCTTGCTGCCGCCAGCCCCCTCCAGACCCGTGCTGACGACACCCCTCTCTTCTGGACCTCGCAGCTCTTCGCCCTCGCCCCAGGCACCGACTTCGACGGCAAATACCTCCAAGCCGCCAGTGGCGGGCTGCTCATCGGCCTGAAGGACCAGGGCGCCTCGTGCGGCCCCGATCCGCGCAACTACGCAACCTTTGTCTTCGGCAACAACACGCTCTCGCTCTACACGGACAACCCGCCACAGAACTTCTACACCGCGCCGGGTGGCATGGGCCAGGGCAACATTCGCTACACCACGGGCGTCGAGCCCGCCCCGAGCAACACCCTCCGCGACGGCTTCTTCATCGACAACCACGGCACCCTCAATATCCAGTTCACCCCTACCGGCCCAGTTTACGGCCTCCAGGCTTGCCCCATGTACAAGGCCCCCGGCCAGTACTCCGTCTGGATGGATGAATTCGAGCACCCTGCCGGCCAGAACTGCACAAAGTTCCAGGCTCGCGTCTCTAATGACTTCAACCCGGAGAAGTGCCAATACACTGAGTAAAGAGCGAGATATGTACATTTTACTCTTGTGTTTTTTTTTGTTTTTCTGGCCTGAACAAAATAAAAAAAAAGTTTGTGCTTGAAAGCTAAAAAATGGGGTAAATGCATTTGATGGAAGCGTCCTTTGTACATATGTGGAGGCCGTAGGACACCTCTTTTTCTTCTTCTTTCTTGCTAGATATGATATGACAAAATGAATAGACATGGTACTTTCGTCAGTTGGTGGTTTTTTTTTCCAGAATACTGTTTGCTTGGTCTTCGTGATATTCACTTGATATGACAAGTGATGACTACTATCTCAACGAGACGTGTGTAGTATGAAGTTCAGTTGTTTGGATACCAAATGCTGTTTTGGAGAATCTGAGTGTTCCTAGAGAAGAAGAGCGCCGTTGTGCAAGTGCAAGTAGCAATTATATCAGCGGCGCAAGGCTGGCGACACAGACACAAGCGCTCTAGTAATCTTATCTTATCATATCAGGTGGCGTAGGTCAAGGTCACGGGGAACGCAACCTCAACGCGTGCATGCGAAAACAACACGTCTCCCCCCGTCCACATACTTGCTTCACATATAAAAGAGACTGCGCAATGTTTGAAGTGTGTAATGGGTTTTTTTCATTGCGTGCGACGATGAGCGTTACGTCGTAAGCGATTATCCTCTCGATGTGTACGCGCCATAAGAAGCGCGGCGCTGGTGAGAGTGAAAAAAAAAAGGAAAACAAAAAGACAGAAATGTGGTAAAACACAGACATGAAGCGCTGAGACTGAGACAAACGCGCCTGAAACGCCCCGCCAACATACTCGACATAAGAAGAGCGAGAGAGAGAAGGAACATCCAGCCCATTCCCATCCATATCCACCGGTACTAACGCTGTTGACCGCCCATAGAACCCAGAGACTGATTGCAAGACAAAAGGGAATCCGTGAAGAAGGTATAGTCTAGCATATGCTTCTATGCCAGACGACTGAAGCAGTTCAAAAGGAAAACAACATCAACAAAGACAAGAATCAGCCTCATGCCTTGGCAGCCTTTGGTGTGGCCTTCTTGGGGGTGGTCTTCTTCTTGGGGGTGGTGGCCTTCTTAGGCGCGGCAGCCTTCTTTGCGGCAGGCTCCTTCTTCTCTTCAGTTGCCTTCTTCTTTGGTGCGGCGGTCTTCTTTGCTGCCTTGGCCTTTGGCTCACCAGTGGGGGCCTTGCTCTTGGTGACACGGCCAGACTTGGTCTTGCCGAGAACGCGTGATACTTGCTCTTCGACAGCGGGCTTGGCGGAAGCTGTCTTGCGCGGCTTGCTGGCATTGGCCTTGGGTTTGGCAGCAGCAGCCTTGGTGGTAGTGGCGGCAGCCTTCTTTGGGCGGCTAGTTGCGGCCTTCTTCTTGGGAGCAGCCTTGGTAGCGGTCTCAGTCTCCTACAAATTATGTCAGCCTTGGTTATTGGAAACACGAGCATAATACATACGGTAGCGCTCTCCTCCTTGGTCTCGTCCTTGGGGGAGTCCTTGGCGGCCTTCTTGGTAGCAGGTGCCTTCTTCTTTTCGGCAGTCTTCTTCTCGGTCTTCTTCTCAGTGACCTTCTTCTCAGTCTTGGACTCAGACTTCTTGGTAGCAGCAGCAGGCTTGGCCTCCTTCTTAGCAAGCTTTACTGGTCCAGATGGGCCTGCGCGACGTGTCAGCAATGTCCAAGTTCATGGGTGATGAGCGACGCTAGGGAAACGCGTCACGGGTTAGGTTGTGGCGGAGGGAAAGGCACTCACCCTTGGGACGCGCAAAGTCACCCTTCTCCTCACCAGAGGAAATGGCGCGGTTGACGTGGCCCCTGAACGCAGCATCGCTCAGGTTGCCGAGCTTGTTGTTGGCTTGAATGTACTTTTGAATGGCTTGACGGCTGCAGGGAAACGTTAGTGAGGACTCTGACAGGCGCGTGTTGCGACAAAAGCACGACGCGGCGCGAAAGCAACAACATCAACATGAGACGGGTGTACTAACCTTGATCCATTACGTTCCTTAAGCTGTAGCGCGAAAAGAGCACGTCAGTAATCATGTTCATCAAGCTACAAAAGGTGAAAGAGGTGCGGTGTTGGGCCTTGCGCGGTGATGCGCTGGCGTCGCAATCCCTGGTGCGGGGGGAACTGGCAATGCGCCTGGGAGGATAGACTCACGTTGATGATTGCATCCTTTACCATGTCTACAATACAAAAGTCAGCATTTATCGGCGATCATGATGCAACACACGGCAGACGCATACAGGTTGCGCTGGTGCTGTGCTGGGGATATACAACATACCGATGTAGGAGCCATGTGCAGGGGCGGCAGAGGGGGCCTTTGCCTTGGGAGGGGTGGTGGTCTTCTTGGGAGGCATTGTGTGGATTAATTTGGATATGGTAGCAGATGCGTGACTGAAACTTGATATGGGCAGGACAAGACCAAGAGCAATGGAGAGGTTGTGGTGGTGTTGGGAGGTTTGCGATAGGGCAAAAGCGCGCGTGCAAGTGGGGGGCGGCCAATTTATAGGAATCTCAGCACCTGTGTGATCCAAATGCGCTCTTTTTCCCAACCCGCAAAAAGTGCGCTAGCACTCCCTCCCCTCCAGCAACCTAGAGCGCTTCAGGGTGATCTTGTCTCGTTTGTTTGCTCTCGTAGACTAATCCAGCACGCCAGTTGGGGCGCGTTGCGGTGCCCATGGAAGCGCACGCGTTGAACCCCTCCCGAATCCCTCGTTGCTCGTCCCTCTGTCCCTCTGTCCACCTGCCCCTACACCCATAAGCTTTTGCCTCGACCACACTTTTGCCCGCGTGCCCAAAGTCGAGCGCTTTTTGTTTTTCCATACGTGTGCCAACAGTCATCGACGTCAATTCTACTTTGAGCGTCTCTGCCTCAACATGGCCTCGAGTTTTCCCCAGCTAACCAATCCATCACGCACATGCAATGCTACAACATCTCGCCCGCCCACGTAGGAGCGCGTCTCCTAACCTGTCGCGCCTTTTCTCCGTCTAGTCGTCTATCTGTTTCTCACCCCGAACGTTCTCGGCCATCCAAAGTTTTGACTTTACGCTAGTCTTGATGGTGTTTGGGTATTCTACGTGCTGCGTTCCGCCTCCTTCCGTGGTGTTTCGCTTGTGCGCAAACATACTCCGATTGCCCTCCCCCAACATACTCGACATGAACGAAATTCTAACAAAAGCAAGGCTCATCTCACCAACTATCAGAAACTCTATTGTTGTGTATCTCTTTCCGTGTACAACCCCTCTGGCAATCGTGTCAAGTCGATGACGTGTCTCGTAATATGTATCAGGTGAGGGTGTGTCACGCGCCCCAGGAGGTAGCTCTACCCAGTGTCCTCTTCTCAGCACCCTCTTGATCCCAATCCCTCAATTCTTCCTGATCCCGAAGAGCGCTTCTCTGCTTATCTCTCTGTTATGTTTTTTCCTGCATAGTGGTAGCTATCTGCGTTGTCCAATAGTTACACCGAGTCGACACGTTGTCTTGCGATTGTTGGCGGGGTTGCGTGTTTGACACTCCTCAACAATTATTGGCAACGCTAGATGTACGACAACCAAAGGAATACCTACTCTTCTATCTGCGTTTCTTCCTGTGCTGCTTTTGCGTCAGATATGCTTGGATGTGTTGGGGTTATGAAGTAAAGCAAAATTGATTTTGTGCGCGCTGTTCACAAGAACGCCCCCCGTTCGAGTTTGCATTGGTACCGCGCTCATCATCACAGCTTTATCCATAATGATTATGCTGCGAACGTACAACTAAGATTGACCGTGGTATCAGATTGAACCGAAAAAACTAACTTTAAATGGTGCCTAGGCTTGGTGGATTCTCCAAAGGTTCTGCAGTATCGCGACGCTGTCAACACTCTCCACCCTAGCCATCGGCACCACTATCACTGCGCAACAACCGGCAACACTATCAACAAGAAAAGAACGAAACAAGGCCAGTAATTCTGTAGCCACTGATCAGCATCTAGAATTGTGAAAAGTAGTGTATCACGAAGACCTCTGTTTAGTTTGCAGCATTTCACTGTTCTGCAATCCTAACAGAAACTTTGGAAACTCACTCTTGAAGCACCTCTTCTCTACGACAATAAGTTGAGTTTACTTATAGTAAAACCCTTAGGAATATTTATCCCTTTATCATAGCACCTAACACCATCTGGCTTTTTCGGAAAGATTGATAAATTACGATGCAGTGCTGTAATTAGTTTGACTTTCTTTTCTCCAATAGAATGTCAGACTTAAGGACAGTCTATAGTTTTTAACCACATTCACTTCTCCCAGGAAGATAAACATCAAATTGTAGTATGCAATTCAAAGGTACGGGAAATAAGACATGTCGTTGATCATCGACTTACCTAGTCCAATTTGATAATGCCTCTAACCCTGTTAGAGGAATTCGGGAAATGGTTCCCTTTACATCCCTAGTACATTTCTGTATTTTGGCCGAAGCAAGTCAAATCAATTCATACGTTCTTGTTATAGCTGATTGTGGTAGTGTGAGAGAAGCAAATATTTTGCATGTTTGGAATTTTTGGCTCGCAAGAGTAAACACTATTGCAGAAAACATGTGAAGCTGTTGAGAATACTATCAGATGAGACTCAAATTCGACAGCGAGAAACATGTCAGAAAGACGTCACTGACACAAGTTGAGTCTTAGATTCGAAAAAAGTGTAATTACTGTGAAGTAAAACGGTAAATTATATCGTAACGTAAGAAGAGTGTCACAATAGACAGTTAGGATCACGTACAACTAGTACAATCGCAAAAAAGGTCTCTCAGGATTCACTATGTTCTCACAATTAGCAGACTGGGGATTACCCATAGGCTATATGCATCCATACGGTATTCCGAGTAAAGATAAGAACCATGGCTAGAAACCCGACACGTTCACCTCAGAGACGTGGGCTATTAATATTTGCTCCTTTTTGAAGAAGTTTGAAATTGTTGAGACAAGTTTTTAATACAGCCGAGTGGCAAAGTTTCCATCTGCGATAGGAGCGAGAAGTATCCGAGACATCGCTTTGGTGGAATAGAGACGCGCGGAAACTCGAACATGGCGATTGTTCCATTGAGTTCGAGATGTATGTGAATGGTGACTGACTCTGGTAGGATTGGTATTTACTGAGCCTAGAGGGCAATCCAAAGAATAGTGGGATCGCTGGGAGCACTCGAATTTGGTAAACCTAAAAGAGTTCGACGTAAGTTATCCTACCATGGCGAAAGTGATTCACATCACTTTGTGATGAAGCGTAAAAACAATGAATTTTCGAATCTTACTATATTGTGGGTTTCGCGCCTTCCTCTGTGTAGAGCTGAGTCATGTGAAAAGGGTCAAGAGGTCGTGCTTGCCGGCGTTGCGCAAGACCCTGACTGCCTTCTCACCCTAACTTGTTTTTTTCATCTCACTCACCTCCTTGTCTACTCCTCTTTGCTCGGCTTCACCACAAATGCCCTGATTTTCTTCCTGTTACCGGTTATACTCACCCGCTACTGATATACACGTAGAGACGGTCGTGCCTTTGCATTTGTCATCACTGCTTTGTTAGTGAATATCACATCTGCCGAATACGATAAGCCCGCCGTAACACAGCCCTAAGCGAAGAAAAGAACTTCCCCCCTCAGGATACATGAATGTGTTGGGGCAGTGCGGGCGGGAACAAGATGAAAAGCCGACCACTCTCGATGGCGGTAAAAAGTCTCACGACTCAGCTTGAGAAGAGAAGGCAGACCCGACTAAAGACTTTTTCTCCAACGGTGCCCAGTGCGCCGTTGATGAGCTGGTGAACACGAGACCGATCAATGTGGGTGTCACCGGTTGCACAACAACATGGGTGCAGTTGGTGTCTCAGCGTGGGGCTGCGCCCTGAACTAGTTGTTTTGGTCGACACCAAGAATCTGGATTCTGGAATCAATGGGGCAGTGGCAAGGATGGGTGCAACTAGCTGTGCTCTCGGTAGTTGTGCTACCGAGCATTCACTGCCGATATGGACAAGGCTGATTCATTATCAATGAAGGCCTATGTTAGTTTTGAGTCAGTGAAGCGCTCCTTTGCTGGCATGACGCATCCTCTTGACGAAAAAAAGTGGCAGTACTAAGCGCGTACTCCCGAGAATTACCCGCGCTAAGTAATACAACTTTTTTTTCGTCGAGGGGGTGGACGGAAGGTGGAGGTCCTCTCTGTGGGGTCCCCGAGGCGGAGAACAAATGACTGGGCCTTGTTCGAGACTTTGATCGTATCGGCATGTTGGTCATCATCTGTAAGTATTGAGAAGCAGATGCATCGGAGTGCTCAGCTCTGAGGCTGATACTGGACGAGTAGTGACTTCAGTGCTTGGCACAGATGCCGGACCGAGTTCTAATGATGCTCTCGCTCGGGTTGCACGCTGCAGGATAGAGCGACTATGTAGGCGCGGCCTACGGCTGTATGTAAGTACTTACGCGAGGCACACTCGGAGGGAAGTGCAGCGCGTGTGCATCATGATGACCAGAACGTTAGCCATCCGTAGCGCCATTTGCGGCTCTGGTGATTCGCGAGGCGTTTGCTAATGTCGTCCCGAGTTACTGTGTATTGGGTAACGCTGTTCGCATCGCAAGCATGTGCCGACGGAGCTTGAATCAGCGCCGAAGGGAACGTCAGACCAGCCAGCCAGCCAGCCTTGTTGTCTCAGGGCGCTAGGGGACCCTCTGCATCCATGCCTGTCTAGACGGTTGGCTAGAGCCCCGTGGAGAAAGGAACGCTTGCCCAAGGACCAAGGACGACATGTCGCCTCAGCCGACTACACACGCACATGCATGCCATGCAAAGTCGGGGTAGCCGTAGCCGTTGTAGTAGGCCTCTGGATCACCGTCGCTACCGTTACCGCTCTCCAGCGCACTCACGTGTATCACGCCAGGGGATTGGCATGCGCGCTTCGACATCCAGCCATTGCTCTATGCGCGCCTATACGGCCCAGCGCTCCGCCGCCCAGCACTCCAAGACATTACCGTTAAATTTTTAGCTTTGGATCTACCCTTGCTCGCCCATGGCCTGTCGGATTCGCGCAAACCTAGACGTGTCCGCGGGACCACGCACGGCAGATACAATAAAAAAGCCCTGACCTTGGTGGCTTGCAGCACCATCTCCTCCATCGTGGGGCAATTGTCACGAGGCGTTACAGAGGACTCTTGCTTTTGCGGGACGCCTTGGAGAGCGGGGTGCCACCCGAAACTCAGCTAGCGAGAGCTGCCAGTGACACGCATGTGAGAGCGCGGCCAGCCAAGTTTGCCTATTCGCTCGTTGTCGCTCCGGGTGGTGGGAGCAAGGTTCTCCAGATGCGCCGCACGGGTGTGGCTAGCAAAAGGGAATGGTGACAACAATAATATTAACGCCACCCGTGTCTGGGATCGCACAATCTGCTGCCTGAACAACGGCTGGGGTCGAGCAGCAGGGTAACTTTTCCGTCCCTATTTGCTAATCTTGATGTTTCCGGGTTTCGGCCCATCAGCAGTCAGATAGGCATGTGCTGCGTATGAGGCACACCACCTTTTCGGGACCGCCATCTTTATTGGCGACCTGTGGCCCGCCCTTGCTCCACCTCCCGTGACGGAGCCAATCCCTTTGTGCAAGCATATATGCTGCGAGATATGCTTGACCCACCCAGAGGTATGGCTTTCAAGGCGGGACACGCCTTGCACTCCCGACTCCATGCTATGGCGATGCACAACGGCTAGCTGCAATAAACACTAATAACGTTAGAATCGGCCCAGCACGATACCCCGGATCATCGTCGTTTTGACAAAGAATAACTGCATGATCAAGCGCCGGCGCCCAGTGGCGTTTATGTACCAGCAGATGCTGGCCATCAACAGGACAGAACTAAATTGGTATACACGGTCAGGTGTTGTTGGTGTTGTCAATGGGCAGTCAGCGTGATGCATCGAGAACCAGAGTCACCTCCAAGCCCCAGGCGCAACAAGACGTCTTGGCTGGGGAGGCGTCGGCTAGCGGCTGTGCATGTAGACGTTGTATCTCACTCATTCGCCGGAAGGATCCAAGCCCCGGGCTTCTGCAAGGATTTTCTGGGAAAAAGTCTGCAGGTCTCGCCCGCTAGTAGAAGGCCCCCATAGGTAGCTTGAGTGAGCTTGGCGCCCCAGGTTTCGACGCCCCCAAAGGCGCTTCGTGTCCCGGACCAACTGTTGTATCGCCTAATCGAGGCACACATGCGCCCATCTGCAACATATGGGTGGTACCGACAGCAATAGCTCATGGACTTGGGACGAAGAGAAGGCTACCCAAGCAAGACGGGCTGAGCTGACAGGTTAGATCAGCCGCGTGCCAGCCGTATGCGTATGTAGGTGCGGACATGGTCATCAGTATGTAGGGGGGGAATTTGGCCAACGGCCTATAGAGAAATAGCAGCAATCCTTCCAGAACTGTAAGATACGGAGCTGTAGCCCGGGCAGGCCTAGCGTGTTAATGTGCAATGTTACGGTAGAAAAGCCACACGGGCACCGTGCTGCAGTATCACGGCTACTTGACGTGCCATATTAAAAGCTTGGGAATCCCACCGCTGATCGCGTTTCACAGACGTCCCCAGCATCTCCTGCTTTTAGCGCTGTGCGGGACTCTTCTTTTTTTTCTTGTGTGTGCGTGTGTGAGCGAAGAGTTCTTATCAACCGTCTTCCGCCTGCTTCACTTTCTCCAAGCACAACAACAAGACTCGCAATCATGCCTGGAGGTGGAGTCGTCCCCGTCACCGGCACGGCTGATGTTAGCCGTGTCGAGGCTCCCGTCACTGTTCGCGCCTACCTCATTGTTGCTTTTGCAGCCTTTGGAGGTATCTTCTTCGGATATGACACTGGTTGGATGGGAGGTGTCCTGAACATGGACTACTTCATCAAGCAATACACTGGAGCAGAGTACCCCGATGTTGCCTTCCCCGGCCTCGCTCCTTTGGACCCTAAGATTACAGACTACCGCAAATCTACCTTTGTTATCGCTCCATGGCAACAATCTCTCGTCACTTCTATCCTGTCCGCTGGGTACGTGGTCAACCCCCCCAAGAATCATTTGCTTGTAATGATCAATTGAAGTAAAACTAACTGAACTAATAGTACTTTCTTCGGTGCTATTGCCGCTGGTGACATTGCCGACTTCATCGGACGTCGTGTTACTATCATTCTCGGTTGTGCCATCTTCATAGTTGGTGGTATCCTCGAGACTGCTTCCACTGGTCTTGGTGTCATGACTGCTGGTCGTCTCATTGCTGGTTTTGGTGTCGGTTTCATCTCCTCCATTGTCATTCTGTACATGTCCGAGATTGCCCCCAAGAAGGTCCGTGGTGCCATTGTTGCTGGTAAGTAAAGAGAGAAAAAAAAAGTCACCCTGTGGGTTCGTTACAATTTGTTAACACTTTTTGATTTAGGTTACCAATTCTGCATTACCATTGGTATCCTGCTCGCCAACTGTGTCGTCTATGCGACCCAGGAACGCCGTGATACCGGTTCTTACCGTATCCCGATTGCCGTCCAGTTCCTGTGGGCCATCATCCTCGCCGTCGGTCTTGCTCTTCTGCCCGAATCTCCCCGATTCTGGGTCAAGAAGGGAAAGCTTGACAAGGCCGCCAATGCTCTTGGTCGTGTCCGTGGTCAGCCCACCGACTCCGAGTACATTCAGGATGAACTTGCTGAGATCATTGCCAACCACGAGTACGAGATGTCTGTTGTTCCCCAGACCAGCTACCTTGGCTCCTGGATGGCCTGCTTCGAGGGCAAGATTGCCAAGCCTTCGTCCAACGCCCGCCGTACTACTCTCGGTATCTTCATGCAAGCCATGCAACAGCTGACTGGTATCAACTTCATCTTCTACTTTGGACCCGTTTTCTTCCAGCAGCTCGGTTCCATCGACAACCCCTTCTTGATCTCTCTCGTCACCACGCTTGTCAACGTGCTCTCGACCCCAGCCTCGTTCGTCATGGTTGAGAAGATTGGACGTCGCCCTCTTCTCATCTTCGGTGCCGGAGGCATGGTTGTCATGCAATTCATCGTCGGCGCCGTCGGTGCCACTGCCGGAAAGAACACTGCCGACCACCCTGCCAACCCCAACGCTACCCGCGCCATGATTGCCTTCATCTGCTTGAACATTTCCGTCTTCGCCACCACTTGGGGTCCCTGTGCCTGGATCGTCATTGGTGAAATCTTCCCTCTCACCATCCGATCTCGCGGTGTTGGTCTCTCCACTGCCAGCAACTGGTTCTGGAACTGCATCATCGGTATCATTACTCCCTACCTTGTTGCCGACCGTGAGGACTCTGCTCGTCTTGGATCCAACGTCTTCTTCCTATGGGGTTCTCTCTGCTGCATTTCCTGTAAGTCTTTTCTCTCTCTCTCTCTCTCTCTCTCTCTCTCCCGACTGCTTTTCAACGGAACGTCTGCTAATGTGTAAACAGTCCTCTTCGCCTACTTCTTCGTTCCCGAGACCAAGGGTCTTACTCTCGAGCAGGTCGACAAGATGTTGGAGGAGAGCACTCCTCGCACTTCCCGCAAGTGGAAGCCACACAGCACTTTCGCTGCTGAGATGAACCTCGCCGAGAAGCACATTGAGATCCCTGTCGAGAACGTTACCACTAAGCAGGAGACCTCTGTTTAAGTACATGTCTCTTGCACACCCTCGAACGGGGAAACAAGGAGTACATGGTATATGGAAATACATAGGTTCATATGTTGGAATGATGACCGTTTGGCGGATGATCAGTTAATGTTTGGGAAGCTATGATGACAATTCGTCTATTGCATTGATTGCAAGCGATGATGCGCTTCTTTATAACTTCAATAATGGAATTTTACTATACCCAGAGTCTCAGTTATTACTGGTCTCTATTGCGATTCTATCTCCCTATGTTCTACAACGAACTGTGCCTTTGTTCATGCTGTTGATTGACTTTGACCTTTTCTTTCTCATATCGCGTCTCCCCCCCCCTCCTTTTCTGCATGAAACATGGCAAAAGAAACATGGCCCTCTCGCCCTTTCGCTCCCCTTTCCTAACAAACAAGGTCCATCCTTCCCTCCCGATCCCAGCCACCTGGACTTCCCCCCCCTTCCCTCATGACCCTCTCACACACACCCCCATAGACGCACGCACATGCACAACACACACACCAACCGCCCAGCCTCGCCCACACCACCCCCTCCATCACGCGCACACACCCAACTCTCAGCCCCCAGACCCCCCTCCCCCCCTAGCCAAACCCCGCATTTTTCCCCCATAACAATCCGCTCCTACTACGCACTAGTACTAGTTAACCTTTCCCTCAATTCACATCTGGCCTAGTTTCGTACATGATCTAAGCTAACATGTGTTATTACATATTTTGGTGTACATACTACTGTTTTTTTTCTTCTCCCTTTCTTTCCTCTTTGCGCGCTTCTGGCACCACTAATTACGGGCGGGCTAGTTGCGGTGGGGTATCGGAGGGGGGGACGTGTCTAGGCCTTGCGTGTGCTAAGACTGGGGATCGCGTTTTTTTCTTTTGCTTTTCTTGCTTTTTTTCGGTACCGTGTTTTCTATTGGGGGGAGGCTCCGGTGCGGCTGGGTGTGGGGTGGGGTTTGGTGATCAAGGGGTGTGATTGGTTGGTTTGGGTTAGATGAATGGTGATGTTTGGGTTGGCGGGTATCGGTTGGTGTAGGGCAGGTAAGTAGGGGAGCTGAAAGGTGAGTCTTTATGCAGGGCTTGGGGCAGGAGCTCGAGATTGAAGTCGAGATCGAGTCTGGAACGATGGGGAGACAGATCGAGATGTGTAACATTTGGTGTCGTTTTCTTTTCAGCTGAGAATACTAGCGATGCGTTGCCTTAGTGTCTTGTACTACTGGATTTTTAAATATGAGGTCAGAGGTGCATTCGGTACGTCAAAGGTCAAGGTCGGATGTGCTTTAGTCTTCCTTTTATGCAAATCTTTTTTAGGAGTTCTCTCATGAGTAGAGTGATAATGGACATTTGGGCAAGATTGGGAACTCGGGTATTTACCACGTTGCTAGCTGGATCACTGTTACATTCGCAACTGCTTGTTTCATATCGCTTTTGTTCAAGAACGGATAAGCATTGCTTTTTCGGGATATTTGTTCTCAGTTTCATCTTCTAGACGAAAACCATCGCATTCCTTTTCGTTTACTGTGTCTCAGGATGAACAATAAAATACATGGTATTTATAGCAAGAAACAAGAAGTAACCCAAATTGCAAAATGCCGTTTCTTTGAGGGGAGTATCGAAATTAAAAGGACGTATAACACATAATCAAAATAATCTTACAGCATCAATCTTGGTCGGAATGTTAGGTTTAGTAGGTTCACCAATCCAAGCTAATAGTACACAAAGACAGACTCCAGACTCTGGCTTTTCTAGTCGTGAGGATATTCATCACGCACGTTACTTACAAAGCAGTGGTGCTCGTCATCCCAGCGCTTGAAGTGTCGTCCAGCGAGCTTCAGCAATGCTTCTGAAGGATATGTGTCTTCACTGACGGGTTGAATGTTCTCAGCGGCAACGTAGCGAACTGACTTGTCGCAGACACTACATCTTGGTCAGCAGAGTTTCCAAAAACAAAAAGAAGCCGAGCCAGTCTTACAGGACGTGATAGAAGGCCTGATTCCTGCCATTTGGTAGGGAATCAACGCGCGTGTTCTGAATCCAGTCTTCGTTTGCGTCACACACCACATCCCACCCGGTAATGACGCCCTCGTAACCATACCGCTTGTGTTGAAACAGCTGGCCGACTTTGAAGGAAACGTTCCGCGTACGTTCAGAACGGATGGTCCTAGGTTTACGTATGGCATCCACTTGATGCATGTTCTGCACAAAGGACAACAACCGGTGCCCTTCGAGTTGATTGTAGAACATGGGGATAACGTAGCGCGATAGCAGGGTGACATCCCACGGGTAATGCATCTGGAAGTGCTCGAGCAGATAAGGCAGGTACTGGCGGCGCCGGATGGTGGTGTGTCCTATATTGGAGGTGTCATCATTTGGACCGAGGAGCAACATAGCCCATATGGTTGCGTAAAAGGCATTGTCCATGTCGGGATTGGCGTTTATCCATGACGCTTGCACACTACCCATTCCAGCTTCGGTTTCGCGAATCATTTGCACAGAGTTCATGATGTTGCGTGCTGTACGCAGAACCATTTCTCTTGTGTTAGTATCGCTCAGGAAACTTTGATGTTCGCTACTCGGGACACCCATGTTCCGTAGTGTGCGCTGCAAGTCGCCCTGTCGCACTTCTGAGGTGGAGCGGAAAGGATCCAGGTACATGTATTCGCGTTCACTGGAGCTGGTAGGCTTATACTTTCCATTAAGATCATAGTTCTTGGGTGCGTACACAAGAGTGTAGACATGAAAGAGGAAGCCACAGGGCCGGGCATCGAGGCCAACGCGTCGAGCTATCGCACAGTATATCGCTACGGAGATCAGAGGAAGTGACTCATGAGCAGCCGAGCGCAGTACCAGTCCGATGAACGAGTTCCGCAACGCACGGTATGAAGCATCGGGAACACCGTTGAAGCCGCGATCGCGAAGGAACGAAGCTAGGGTATAAGCCTTGTCTCGTGGACTCCAGTCACGGAAGTTTGGGTATTCTTGCAGCAGCCCGTCAGCCAGTTCGCCGATGTCGTTTGCGACGACATCAACATCAACCTCTTCACCAACTCTGGCAAACACATCGTATGCGCCTAGAGCTCTCTCGATGGGCACGTCATTTCCATGTTGCAAACTAGTCCATACCTTGATGGCGACTTCACGATGTATGCGCTCGAGAACGGCATTCGCATAGTATCTTCTTGCCAGCACATCTTCGGCATCGTCTGGACAGGCGCATTCTTTGAGCAGTGTCTCTTTTGCGTCGTATCCATAGTCTGCAATGTCGTTGATGCAGCGTATGCGCCCGTGCTGGGTGGCGATGATGTGATTGAGCAGCTCTTTTGTACGGCGGTTAATTGTGTGTTTGGTCATGTACAAGGCGCGCCAGTCTACGTCGGACAAGGGCGCGGCAAACTTTGCGGCGATGTTGTGGCGAGAATCCCACGTTTTGAACTGCGTCTTGCAGAGGTGACGCCAGATGATGGGCGCATCGGTTGTGAGTCGCTTGATGAGCTTGTTCGTCTGCGATACTGCTACGAGAGAGTGAGGATCCAGATTCAGGAATATGGCCTCGAGAATCTCCGTCGGCAGATTAGTGAAGCAGGCAGGCGCCATGATGAGCCGCGGGGTAAATCAAGGCTGCACAGGCGCGCAGGTAGAGAGGACTATGGAGGCGTAGGAGATGAGGATCTAGCGGCCATGCGATGTTAGTGACGGGCTTGAGGCGACGGCGGCAAGTCGTGATCAAGTCTTTGGCGCCGGATTGCGTCAATGTTGAGGCATGGCTGGGGCGGCGACGATGATCGCATCGCATACAGAGTTCGCTTATCGCTTATCAACCAGCCTCGGCAGCCATGTTGCGATACTGCACCTCAACATTCCAGCATTCCATCCGTTCCACGGTACAGAGTATGGATGTCGGCCGTGTGTGGACTTGGTAGTATATGTGTCTATGTTAAGACACGTGTTTCGTGCGGAGACGGCGGCGGAGACGGAAATAGCGCCATACTTACATCCGCACCCTGTCTGACATCCGAGCCCTGACATGCGCAGGCTAACTCGTTCGGTGCGATGAACAATCAAATCTCTTGATCATGGTTGCTGACAGGCGAATGATCAGTGGTCCAAACCAGTTGGGCCTGGCTGGATTCGTACCCAAGGGAAATCCCCGCGCCTGCAAGACAACTTTGCGAACAATGCTGCCGACGCACGACCCGGACACGGCTGGCATACTTTCCAGCACAAGCACAACGACTCGCCGTGTTCGCAGTAGCAAACGGCACAGAGTCGTCCACGTTTGGTCCGGCACGGCCGCGTGATGGGTTCCGATTGCCGCGTTCCGAGAGGCCCGACCGATGTACTATGTACCGTAGCCACAGTTGATGTCACTGCTTTTGACGCACCGCCGCACTGCATTAAACAACATGACGCCCTAGAAGCGCGCATCTCATCTTACTGCTCCCCTCTTCCCCTCCTGAATCCCTTGTATTCCTCTAGTTTCACCCTGCTTTTTCATCCCTCACCATGGCCGACCTAAGCAGAGTTGAGTCGATGCAATACCCTGCCGGCCATTTGTCCCATCTTTCAGAGCATCAACAGGCCCAGCTTGTCGAGTTCAAGGCCATCTGCGAAAAGGCCGGCTACTACACGCCTGCAGTCGGGCAGAAACATGCAAGCCACGACGACGGGACTTTACTGTGCGTGCAAAACTCTAGTACATCGCGACAAGACTAGTGGGGCGCTGACCAGGAACAGGCGCTATTTGCGCGCACGTCGTTTTGTTCCCCAAGAAGCCTTCAAGCAGTTCAAGGACACTGAAGATTGGCGTAAGGAGAACAAGCTGAGCGAGATATTCAACACCATTGACGTCGAGGAGTACGAGCAGACACGTCGTCTGGTACCGATTCCCTGACCCACCTTGTGCTCATTCTCTCTGACAAGCTCACCCAGTATCCGCAATGGCTTGGCCGACGTGACAAGCGCGGCATTCCCCTCTTCCTCTTCGAAGTCGCCCCGCTCAACTCCAAGAATATCTCTGCATACGAAAAGCAACTCGCAAAGTCAAAGTTCACCCTTCCCAACGTTCCAACCAAGAATCTCCGCCTCTTCGCCCTCTATGAATCCCTCACAAGGTTCTACTCGCCATTGTGTTCCATGGTGCCTCGCGCCTACCCAGAGACCCCTATTTCGCAGAGTAATAACATTGTGGATATCAGCAATGTTGGTCTGAAGCAGTTTTGGAATCTCAAGGGACACATGCAGGACGCTTCCGTCCTGGCCACAGCACATTACCCAGAGACGCTCGACAGGATATTTGTATGTTTACACCAATTCACATCTGTTCATTCCAGCAAGACTGACAGGCTTTTAGATTGTCGGCGCGCCTAGCTTCTTCCCCACCGTCTGGGGCTGGGTCAAGCGATGGTTTGATCCCATTACGGTGTCCAAAATCTTCATCCTCTCCCCGTCGAATGTATACTCCACACTATCTCAGTATATCGACCACGAAAATATTCCCAAGAAGTACGGCGGCGGCCTTGACTTTGAGTGGGGTCAATTGCCCAACCTGGAACCGACCATTGAGGCGCAGATGAAGTGGGAGAAGCCAAACATACAAAATGGACGTAAGACATTCCCAATTGGACCACTCAAGTGGGAAGATGGAAAAGACGGATCAATGGAGGCTTGGGGCATCGGCACCGAGGGCGGCGCACAGAGACACGAGCTCATCTTCACCATCCCTAACCCCGTGGGCTACAGACAAGGCGATGTGATTCCACCTACACCCATAGCCGAGATTGGAGATCCCCTAACAACAACGGGGACAGCCACGCACCCCCCAGATAGCGATGTGCCAGACGTAGACACCCCACCTTCAGAACCCGAAAGCCCAACCACGGCCACTGCCACTGCACCCGCCACCACAACCCTGCCCATCCGCTCCGGCACCTCAGAACCTCGCTTCGAGCAACAAAGCCATACGCACGCCTCAGGACAATTGGCAGAGGGCACCCCCGATGCCGCAACTATCGACCACGGCAACGGCGACAAGAGCGTCAGCGTCGAAACCCGCACAATTGGCCAGGCTCCCAAAGAGGTACCCCTCCCCGATCCACAACAACCCGCTGCTCCCAGCTACCTAGACCAAGCTAAATCCGCCGCTGCATCAGCCTCCGCCGTAGTCACTTCCACCGCCACTTCGGCTGCCGAAGCCGTAGCAAGCGTCGTTAACGGCAAGGACCACGATAAGCCTGTGGAGCCGGCCCGAGAAAAGACTCCCGAGGAAAAAGAAATCGATCGACAGATTGATGCTACGAGCAACAAGGATGTAGAGGCTTTCTTGAGGGATCAGACCGCAAGTCGGAGTCAGGTTGTTAGCTCCTAGTACAACGACCACTACTGCTATTATTGAAATGAGATTTTGGGGGTGCAGAGCGTTTTTTGCAATACAAGGGGGTGAGCGAATTAGATAAAGGAATGGAGGAAATTGTAGTGATACCACCGACTTTTTTTTTACACCCTAGGAATTCTCAATTCACAATGCTCTACACCTACAAACAAAAAACACGTCTTCTTTAATCTTCTGTGCCATTTGATTTGATCTTTTGCAAAAAAAACAAAACAACACTGATTCTTGGTATTAACGAGCTAGTTACCCCTTTTTTGGTCTAGGCCAAAAACCACGTGGTTCTTCCAACATCAGCAATACGTCTTTCACTCACAAGTACTCTCAGTTAATCAATCAGTCAGACATATGAAAAAAAAGAGACAAGACGCTTCTACACGAAAAGAGGCTAAAAAGCTTTCCAACGCCCGTAAATGCAAAAAAAAAAATTCATTCCCATTCCCATCTCTCCCCCCAACCAACCCATTCATGCCTTTTCACTTGGACTTCTTCAATACGTCAACATCTTCTGTCCCCCACTCTTCCCATCCACGCCCTCTCCCGGCCTTGCAAAACTACACCAGCGATCCTTGATCGAAACCACCTCATACGTACCCTCTTCCTGAACAGGGATACTCATTGTCATTTCGTGGCTAACTTCCGTCCGAATCTCCAACACCTTGCTCTTTCGTCCCTTGTTGGCATTGGTGCTACGGGTATATGTAAATTCAAAGGGTGGGGTGCCCCAGAACTGAAATTCAAGATCGGTGCCGCCGCCCTCGTGGATGTCGACTTCGGTGACTTGGCCGCCCGAGAGGCGCACAGAGGGGATGGGGTGGATCGTCTTGGTGAGGTCCAGACTGGCCATGCATTCTGACGCCGAGTCGCGGAGACCAGTGATGGTGAAGGTGCCGGGGAGTTCGGCCAGACGGCGGAAGGTGGTGCCTGGGTTGGACGCCTTGCGCTCTTGCTTCTCGAACGTGTAGAAGACTGTAAAGGGGGATTGGCCGCCAAGCGCGAAAGAGAGGCGCTCGCCGACACAGAAGTCCTGGCGGTCTTCCAGAGGTGTGGCAGTTGGAGCATCGTGCACGCTGATCTGGACACGAGGACCGCCTGGTGGGGGCTTGAGCGTACATCCGCGCGAGTCGCGAACCTTGCGAATGGAGATGGATGAGTGGCCTAGGTGCATCTTGCGGTGCTCAATCTTGAGATCGTACTTGTTCGTAGGAATGTTCTTGTGAATGCTGATCTCCGGTTTGGGTGTACCTTGATGCTTGATTTCAACCTCGAGGTAGAAAGGTGCAATGCCCTCCAAAGTGATGGGAATGACCTCTTCTCCCTCTGACTCCCGAGAGCAGTAACTGTACGTCTTTCCAGGCTTATCAAAGCGCGCACTCGGTCGTGAGTGGACAGTTTGCTGGATAGTGACGGGCGAGAAATGCTTCTTCGAATGGTCATAGCGAGAGTCGGCAAGTTTCAAGAAAGTGTACTCGTAAGTACCAGCCTTGGAGGTTTCCGATCGTATAGAAGCGAAGCCACCTGCAGTGTGAAGATCCTTTTCACTAACTGAGGCTGTCTTGCCCTTCTTGTCCTTGTACTCCTGTCGGTAAGAAATGTCAAAAGGAGGATTACCTGTTATATAGTCAGTATGATGAAAGTCAATGGTAGGACAGAGCACTCACCAGTCAGGGAGACATCAAATGCATCCTCATCGCCTTCACAAACAGGCTCTTTGATGTACTTGCTTCCATCAAGAACAGCGCTCTTTTCGGGAACGCTGAGCGAGGGTCGAGCCACCCAAGAAACGTGAAATTGATCCGCCGTCTCATCGATCAGACCTGGACAGATAGAGTCCCGGACTGAAATAAGTTGATATGTACCGTCTGTCTTGACATCAAGCCACGAGTTGGGGTTCTGGAAAGACTCTCGTTTGACTTCTTTGGTCTTCAAGTTCTCGTACTTGAGCGACCAAGGACCGTTTCCGGTAAAGCGAAGCGGTAGTCCAACCTGTCGGCTTTCCAGTGCCAGTACCGACTGCTTGCCCTCAATGTGGCCGAAGTAAGCCTTGGGGCGTTCGTGTCGTACATTAACCCTAGCTTCTTCCTTAAGAACTTCTTTGCACTTGGCTTTATCGGTAACGCTGGTCAATGCCACAACATACTCTCCACCACTGCTAAGCTTGTCGGTTCGAATAGTGTAGTGTGCGTTTTCGGTTTCGATAGAGCGCCTTGTGCGCTTGCCGTTATGGACAATCTCGTATTCCAGTTTCCAGGGTGCCTCTCCAACGAAGCCAACATCGAACTCCGCGATATCATCGATACAAGCCTGCTTGGGCCTTCTACTCTCAATAAAGTGTGCTTGTGCAGATGGCTTCACGTCTTGCTGAAGTCTAATGTTGTTGAGGGGCCTCTCCGGGTACACAGAGTCGCTAATCGTCTTAAAAATGTATTCGTAGTGACCAGCATCTTGTGGGGTGAGATCGATTGTGCTGCGAAGACTGGCAATCTGCAGAGGTGTCTTTCTGATCTCTCTTCCATTATCCTTCTTTTCGTAGTAGGTGAGTGTGAAAGGTGGGCTTCCCACGAAATCGAGACCAACACGAAGACCAATTGGGTTACCAGCGCACTTGTCGATAATGTCTTCACTGTCCAATGTCATGTCCGGCTCAGGTGGGTTTTGGAGCAGACACGAGGTAGGCTCAAAGACTTCACCATCGCAGAACTCGGATGCTACAGACTTGATTGTGTATAGACCTGCTGCTGAGATGGTGGGTTGCTCTCCCTTTCGCATGACTTGCTTTTGCAGAACAGCATCTGGGCTATGATAGCCATCTGCGATGATGTTCTCCTGAGGCGTGAAGAGATACTCGACCGTGTGCACAGTGTCAATGGGGTTCTTTCCAGTAGAAGCGTAATGGACAGGCAGGCGGGCGGCGTTGCCTTTGGGCACGCGGAGAGGATTTTGTGGACTACATCCCTTGAGAAAAGCCGTAGGTCGCTCGTGAACCTCAAACATTTGACGGATGCCTGCAACTTTGGGTTTCGGTCTATCCTCGTCGTCGACGTTCACGTAGCTGACAAAGTTGCCCAATCCATCCTGTACCTCTTCAATTTCATACTCCCACGAACCGCTGTTCGTGAGGGTTTCGTTCAAGGGCACCAGAACCTTCTGCGAGCGAGCCCAGGAAATGTCTTCGCGTCCGTTCTTTACCAATGCTTGTGATGTGTGCCTGGACAGAGGCGAAATGACATCCTCTGGCTGCAAATTTTGAAACTGGGATCCACCCCGAGGCTTTCCATTTACGGTCAGGCGGTACTTGACGCTAAGCGGCGGAGTGCCCTCGACTTCCAGCGAAACGTTGGATAGATCACTTCGGCATCTGTTGTTACCAGTCGGTTTGACTCGAGCTTGCGGGCAGGTCGTTACTACAGCGTTGGTTGAGCGCGGTCGCACCTGGAGCTTCGACTGATCTGTAACCTTCTTCAGAAGATATACACCTGGCTTCTTGATGGTGTAGGTCAACGTGAGCGGGTCGTCGGGGTTGGCGTTCTTGACCGCCTTTCTTGCCTTCTTCATCATTCCCTTCAGCTCGCTCTTTTTGACTGTGATGGTCTCGTTCATGTTGGTGTCGATGTCAATGCGCAAGAGTTCCATCTCGTGAGGCTCGGTCTGGTTGATCCTGATGGGAATGTCGAGTTGAGAGATGGTTGAGCTGAGACAGAAAGACTGCCTTTCCGGGTTCAGGATGGCAGATCCCTCGGGCAAGATGTTGACAATCTGCTTTCCGAGAATTAGGGATGCATTATGTATGATTGCGCCAGGCTTGACGCTCCGTTCGCTGATGGCCAGTTCGCTATCCCACAGGAAACCAATCAATCCCATAAACCAAGCTTGTACGGGTATACCAATTCTGAACATGAGCATGACGTCGATTCCGGCATGCATTACGAATAAGAGAAAAGCAGCGCCATTGCCCCATTCCAGCCAGGGAATCTCGAGCAGCGGTACGCCGAACATGAACAGCACGTCAAAGAAGCACCATTTCAGACACAGCCACAGCGACTCGTCGTCCTCGAGCGCTAAGGTATAGAAGTCATATGTCCGGTATGCCCATAGGGCAATATAGACTGCGAAGACATAAAAGCGCTGCTGGGCGGGATCGAGAATGTCCGAGGGTATGAGGGGCCCTGAGGTCGGCTGCGGAGGGGCTTTTGGGAGATCGGGAAGCGGCGATCGAATGTTTGGCCGCGGGGAAGATGCTTCTGGGCTTTGCAGGCCGGGAGACCTGTTGGCGTTGGCGTTGTTGTGTGGTGTCTGTGGGAAGCCACCTACGCCTCGCCGGGCTGGTGTGCCGTTCATCGCACCAGGAGTAGAGTCTTGACCAATGTCGTGTTCATGGGCCGGAAAATGCGACGGCGGAGATGGAATCAGCCGGTGTTCTTTGCGGAGTTGGGGTGCTTGTCGACGGTTCCTCTCCCTGGGCGACGTGAGACTGGCAAACAAAACATTTACTGACATCTACGCGACAGGCGCGACAAGGATGATGCGAACTGCGCTGTCCTGGCCAGCCAATCAGAGCTGCGCAACCCCGAGCTGTCGGTCACGTGCCATCTACCTAGCATCACCATTGCCTATCTGCTCTTGCTGCGCTACTCCACATTCATCATCTAGCGGTACATTCATCGCTTCTTATTGTCGTAATACGCTGCAAGTTGCCGAGTTGGGTTTTGTGTAAGCCGCGGACCCTGTCGACATGCTCGTCTACTTTCCTTCTCTCCACCCTTCCAATCTCCACACGTACACGTGAGCCTCTTCTACTTTGACTCAAGATACGATACATTTTCCTCTCACTCACAAGCTTTTTCACTCGAATCGCTCGCCATGGCGCAGTTGTATTGCCATCAGCCAACGAATGGCTATGATGTCTTGGCAACAACCCAAGATCATACTCAGGAGCAAGCGATGCCCGGCATAGATTCAGCAAACCCAGTAGACGTTACTGATTCTAAAATCATGCAAGAGGAGAGTGACGCATCAACGCCTAAAATTTCTGAAGACTCTGGAGCTCTGGTGAAGCCTTCCAAAGCAGCTTCACCCAATGCCAGGAAGCGAAGTCCCTCTGGGCCGTCAAATTCCGAGCCCGACAGCAAGAGATCCAAAGTCTCACCATCACCCTCAGCACCCAACGATGGCCTAGCAATTAAGCCGGTCTTTCCGAGCCCTCCAGACATGCCCGCCACTGCCTTTGACAAAGAGACCTGGCAAGGCTTCTGTGAAATCGAAAGCGAGCCCGCGTGTTTCTCCGTCATCCTCCGCGAAATGGGCGTCGAAGGCGTGACCGTTCGCGAAGTCTTCAGCATGGACCAGCAATTCATCCGCGAAAATATTCCCCAGCCAATCTATGGTTTCATTTTGCTATTTCACTACCGCCAGTTTGGTGACGAGAATCAACAGAACGAGTGCTCGGATAGAGTGTGGTTTGCCAACCAATTGCCAGCCCAGGACAGTTGTGCAACGCTGGCCATGATAAATATTCTCATGAACCAGACTACAGATGTTTCTATTGGTGAGCATCTACAGCAATTCAAGGACTTCACCAAAGATTTTACGCCGTATCAGCGCGGCGAAGCATTTGCAAGTTTCGATTTCGTCAAGAGAATCCACAATTCTTTTGCCAAGAAGATGGATATCCTAGAAGGCGATAAGCATCTCAGCCACAAAGTCAAGCGTGCCAGGCGTCTCAAAACACAACTGGCTGAAAAGAGTAAGCCAAGAAAGAGAGGGACAAAGTCACGGCGAGCTTCTGCCGACTCGGTAGCTGCAGACGATAGTGAGGAGAGGGTCGAGGATAATGCACACCACTACATTGCTTTTGTTCCTGTTGGTAATGAAGTCTGGAAGCTAGATGGCTTCGACAAGTGCCCGACGTGTGTGGGTTCCTTCAAGCCAGAACAAGGGGAGACGTGGCTAGAGTCCGTTTCTGACACAATCGCGACCCTCATGGCAGCAGGTGACGACGATTATGGTGTTACAGCGCTAACGCAGTCCCCTCTAATTCCCTTACGCAAGCGTGCCAGTCTTACGATCAACACTTTGGCACATGTCGAAGCACGCCTCGACCACCTCTCCCAATCAACATCTAAAGACTGGAGGCACCTCGTCAGTGCAGATAAGCAACCACCCAGCCCTTGCATGCTTGGCCTTGAGCCGTATCTTGCTGCCAATCCTGTGCCAGAGGCACTCAAGGAATTCATTGACAATGAAGACACACAGCAAGTTCTTGCGCGACGTCAGCAGCTGGCTATTCAAGCCGACGATGATGATACACAAATCATGATGGAGATACAGAATGAGGCAGAAGAAAACGAAAAGGCTAAACAACGGCGCTATGACTCTGGTCCGGTCATCAAGAAATGGCTGGAGATGCTAGCCGAAAACGGTTATCTGGAAGAGAATCTTGAGCGCTTTATGCCATGCAAGGGGAAGAAGAAATGATGCATCAAATGTAGACGGTGACCATACCAAGGACAGTTTAGTCTAACCAGGTAACCAGAGTAAGGTGTACTGGCGGGTCATCGGGGTTGTTTACATATGGCTATGTCGTGTCACTAGGTAACTGCACACATACAATCAATAATCCTAGCTCCATAGAACAAATATCACGAAGCCTAGAATTCACATGTTGGCCCCACAAATCATTTTGCTCTCGGAGGTCTTGCTGCTCTGATTTCATGCAGCAGATCAACATACAGTGAGAAAAAGGGAAATGCTCATGGCTGCACGTTGCTAGTGCCTCAGATTAGTCCTCCCATTCACCCAATCTCCTTCTGATGTATTAAAATGAGACATGCGGAAAGTCATCGGGCCTGTATTGAATGACTACTAGGCAAACCGAGTAGGTAAGTTGCTGCTTTTGGAATGAAAAAAAAAGTGTGGTACGAACGTGCATGAGCGACAACAAGTACCCGCATGGGTAGCAGAAAGTGCATTGCATATCCAGGGACTATGTTGGGTAATTTGCCAACTGCGGGGTCAAGGATCACGACGCGGTTCTAAAGTAAGCCCGCGCTATCTTTAATAAAGTTGCAATAAAATGTATGTGACGTCATAAACCTACCCGCAGTAGTACATGGGCTTACTGATCTAGCCTACTGCACTCATGTTATCAAAGACTAAGACCACACCGCATATCGAACATCAACTTCCAGACTCTTTGCACTTCCAAAATATCACAATGATAGAGACATACCCAGAGATCACATGGCATCCCATACCCCACTCGGACGCAACATGCAAAGTCCACCTCATCCAAGCCGGCGGCCTCTACATCCCCTACGACCTAGTCCTGCTTCCGGACTCGGACAAGCCCAATGACACCTCGGAACTACAAGCGTCAAAAAAGGAGAGAAAAACATATTACGCCCCGGACTATGTGTTCCTAATTGAGCACACAGCATCGGGAACAAAGTACATGTTTGACCTCGGCATACGGTCAGACCTCGAAAATCTACCCCCACTCATCCAGGAAACTGTACTTCCGGTCTTTAAGTGCGAGCCTAAGTCTCCTGAGGATATTCTCAGAGAACATGGATCGCCCGAGCAGCAGCCGGAGAAGATCAAAGCTGTCATCTTCTCGCACATGCATTTTGATCATATGGGTGATGGGGCAAAAGGCGGATTCGAAGGCGCAGAGTTGTGGGTTGGACCTACGTGTTGTACATATGCACGTCCAGGCTATCCGGTTGAAGAGAGGGCACCAACGCTAAGTGAGACGTTACCTGTGGATGGGAGTAGAAAGGTTGTAGAGTGCTATATACCTGACGACTTACTCCGAGATACTGGAGACAAGAGAGCAGGGCAGGTTATGGAAGGTTTGAAGGAAGGAAAGTATGCTGCTGTTGACTTGAAGAAGCCAGAATGGATCCGCATTGGTGCTTTTGAGCGGGCATACGACGTTTTTGGCGATGGAGCAGCGTACATTGTCGATGCGCCGGGACATTCAGCAGGGCATCAGATGATGCTAGTGAGGACGACTTCTGGCTCTGATGACAAGGAAAGCTCGTTCGTACTCTTAGGTGGCGACTGCTTCCACCACATCAACGTCCTGCAAGATCCAAACCGCACTGCTCGTCCGCCTTATTCAAAAGGATGTATGCATGTGGATCCCGAACAGGCAGTCAAAACCATGCTCTGCACAAGGGAATTCGCACGAAAAGACAACGTCTGGGTGATAGGAGCTCACGACGTAACCATCGGCCAAAAAATCCGGCCCGGAGTCAAAGAACTCACCGGCCTCATAGACATCACCAACTGGCAGACTTCGGGCTGGAAAACCCCACTCTAGTCCTTGCAAAGTTCCAGACCCTTCAGAATGCATTAATTCTCACGAAGCCACTTCCCCCTCCCCCCCCCCCTCTTTTTTTTTCCACATGAGTAATACTTACTAAACCCACAATAAGCCACCCCCCCCCCTAACCTGGTTCAAGAAGCCTCGATATGACATTGAATCGAGAAATCCCCCCCTGCCCAAACAACTCAATGCAAAATAAATGTCCCCATGAACTTTGCTCCCAAGCCTCTTGGCTCCCGAGACACAAAAAGCTTGACCATCGTTCCTTTGCGTCACACCGTCCGCGTTTAGTCCCCACTTATCCCACACCCCCTTCCCCCTTGTCTGCAGTAACAAAGAAGAAGGGACTCCAGTAGCGTTGAACTTGGAAACACTGATTTGAAAGGATATTCGGTAGGGGAGACGCCGTATGTTAAGGTACCATGAGTCTCGCCCGGGAACACCCGCCATCTTAGTGCCCCCCCCCCTCGGGAGTAAAGTAGACAAGGGAAAGGGAAAAGGGGAAAAAATGTTGCGGCGTACGCTGTTTCGAGGGGTGGCTTGGCATGCTGAGCGCCGCATGAGGGAAGGCCTTGTGTGGCGTGATTTTTTTTTCTGCCTATGTGCCCCAGGCTGCTTGGTATAAGGGACACTGGGTTTGTCTAGGGGGTTGTATTTTTTTTCCTGTTGCAGTGGTGGCTGCTGGGATTGGGTGCGTAGAATGAAAGAGGCGGTTTTGATACAGATCTAATAGCTATAGTAGACGCTGTTAATATCGATCTCGCTATAGCTATTTTATTGGTCCCTCCCCCCCCCTTTTTTTAACTTGAAGGATCTATGTAGATAGATGCATTATTAGTGTATACTATACTAATGCATATGGATGCACGTATGAATCTGTACATGTCAATTTTCATTTTTTTTTTGTGTTTACTAGGATGGGTCATTAAGAACATTTGTCGCAGCCGACTTGCAGCTGGGAGTGAATTAAGTCTGAGAACATGATGTAAAAAAACAAACTGGGAGATAACAAAAAAAACAAGCGGACGACAACAGGAATAAAGGGAGTTGGTAGTGATAGCCAGATGAGCGAATTACTATATGTACAACGGATAATAAGTTAAAGGTTGCAAGAAATTCGCTTCCCAAAATGGTTTGTAAAGTAGCGTGTAAAAAAAAGGAAATGAAAAAATGGGTTATGGTATCTCGAATCCACTTTACTCTTTTTCTTCCTCCTCCAACAAACAATTCCCTTCCATCCTCATTCGTCTTCCTTGGATGCGAGTCCGCGGTACACGAGACTAGAAGTTCTCTTTACCCCATACGAAACTGAAGCCGGGCTCGGAGTACATGTTGCACTTGACGTGGAGGGTGGAACCGAGACCCTTGGGACCGCAGAAGAAGACACCGGCCTCGGCAGGGGAATGGATTTTGCGAATGGACTTGAAGATCATGTCCCAGTTTGGACGACCAAAGTTTGTAGGGGCGCGGAGACCGGTGATGGCGTCTTGTTCGGCGTTTGCGTCGTTGATCATGATGTTTGTTGCGTCGTCTGCTTTGATCTTTGCGGTGAGGTACTATATTGCCATTAGCATATTGAACAATGTATAGGCGTAATGAAAGGGAGCAAGAGCTTACAGTGTGAATCTCAATGTGGTCATCAACATCTTGAGCCTCGATAGCAAGCAGCAATGATCGGAACCACTCGAACGAACCGAAATCTCTGCAAATCCAGAAGAAGTAGACCTTTCGGAGGCGTGTGCGCGAGCCCTGGGGGTAGTTCATGCGGTACCAGATACTCTTGAGGATGGATGCGAAGGGCGTGACACCGATACCGGCACCGCAGAGGACGGCGACTTCGAACTTGAACACATCTTCGGAAGCGGAACCAAAAGGTCCGTCAATGTAGACACGGGGGAGAATCTGGCGCAGAGCAATCTCCTCGCTTGAGACGCCCTTATCACCCTTTTCACCGGCGGGCTTCTTCTCTGTGCTGCAGCCCAGGGCTTGACCGAATGCTTTGGTAAAGTTACCGACCATACGGATGTGAACGGAGATGTAGTCTTCCTCGGGTGCGCTAGTAAGCGTGAAGGGGTGATATTGCCAGATGGAGATTTCAGGGCAGCACAAGAAGATGTACTGTCCAGCACGGGTCGTGGTGTGCTCCTTCTTGATCTGGACCTCGCAAACGTTGCTGGGGTGCTGGATGACCTTTGAAATGTACGTCTTGTGCCGTCCCCTGACCTCACGCGCGATACGCTCAGCGAGGTACGCGAATCCACCGTACATCCAGTACTCCCAGAAGACACCGATACCGTCGCAGAAAGGCGCAAAGTCGGGCTTAATCATGCAAAAGGCTCCGTGGATAGACCAGAAGATGAAGAAGACGATGAAGAGGTGGTGCATGTACCAGAAACGCTCAAAGTTTGCGCGACGAGCCTTTTCCGCTGCCGTGACCGCAATCGCCATCAAACAGATCAACATGACATAACCACTCCAACCGGGACCAGTAGCAAGGTTGGCGAGGATGAAACCCATGAACCCGAGATTGTTGACGGCCGAGAAGCGGGCAAGATTGTTCCAGTGAGCAATGGTGTGGACCCAGGAGAAGAAGACAATGGACCAAGCGACAAGCTTGTGGAAGGTGATGTTCTTGTCAAAGGGGATTACGTCGTTTAGAGGCGTGCGACGAGCCATGGAAATTAGGTTCCTGCATACTGGGAACAGGATGAAGGCGACGTCGACATGGAGGACCAGAGCTGCTGAACGAGCAATGGGGTATGTCAGACCAAAGGTTTGTCTTACTATGATGATGTTGTCCTAGAGTGTTATGTGAGCGCGGTGTGCAGAAGCACATAATGGGAAATGCCTACCTTTAGACCGTAGTTCATCATACCAAAGACAAAGACCATGACGTGGAGAATGGCAAAAGTAAAGACGAAGCTGACCGTTATTAGCCAAGTTGTCCAATCGGGTTGCAGAGTCGCGCTCACAATCTTCGGTAACCCTCGTTGACCATCCAGACGTCAAACTTTTCTTTCCGCGTCAACTCTCGCCCCTTTTCCTCTGACATCTCGCCAGACATGAGCATGCGGGTAAGCGGCGGCCATCTTGACCGCTCGCGGCCCGTTAGACTGGTAGTGAAGGACATGACTACTAAGTGGAGCGAGAGTGCAGTAACCGTAGAGCGCCTGTCGGAGGATGCCGATAGGCTTCAGACCTGCTGAATGTGGCCGAGTGGAGAATTTGTAGATTCAAAGAGCGTCTAAGTAATCTGGATGCGCATATCATTAGTCTCGAGAGGTCTAGCAGAATGGGCAACAGCAGCAACGACAACACGCCGACGTACTAAAAAGTGCCCGCACGAAAAGAAGAGAAGAGAGCTCGCAGAAAGGCGTTGGATGACGCGGCTAAGGAAGAACCGGCATGAAGGCGGGCGAGTCTAGGGGCGAGACGGGGAAACAAAAGTCTATAAGCCAGCAGTGATGGCGGCGACGAGCACAAAGAGGGACAAAGCGGCAACGACGGGGATGGGGTCGGTCAGGTCATGTCGACAGCGCCAGCAGCAAGTGGGTAATGGGGTCTCAGTTAGTCAGACGCTGGGAATGAATGGGGATTCCCAGGGCCCTTTGGGACCAACAGGGCGAAACGGTAGCAGAAGTCGAACCACTTTGGATGGCTTCTGTTGCGACGTAGTAGCACGGTGCTGCTATAGAGCAGGCGTCGCGAACGGCAGGCTAGCCAATTGGAGGCCGACTATGGACAGATTCGAGGGCAAGAGAGGCCAAGCGGGCAGTCTGAAACCCGGGCGGCCATGAGTCTTCGTCTTTGGCATGCGAAAAGGCTGAGGGGAGACGTTTGAGAGGCGTTTTGGGGCCAAAGCTAAAACACACAGCGTTAGAGCCCGGCGGTTCGATGTGGCGCCCCTGATCGGCCAAGCGGGCGAGCCTCAACTGCCGACGCATAACCACCAGCCCTTTGACTCCAGCGCTGCTGGCCTGTTCCGACGCTTCTGGCCCGAACATCTTGTCCATGTATTGTGCAGTACGTATACGCCAACACAAGCTTCCTCGTGGGCTACGAGAATGGTCCGACTTGGCTGCAAGTGGCGGCCCATGTTAAGAGATGGATGCCTTGGCTGAAGCGTCGTATCGCGGCCGGCGCTGCCCCAGGCCACCTACTAACACCATCTGCATCTTACAGCGGGGACTAGTCGTCTCGACTCCCTCTCTAGCCTCGGTCCGTACTTTACACATGGTCGACGATACATGCGCAGGTACGGGTGGCCAGCATGGATGGTTCGAGCAGACGTACGTATACGATTACATACACCCACGTCGCAACGGCCCACACCCAGCACAGCGGCATCACCACCACCACCAAACCCGACTCCTGCACCATGGTCCGCTATGTTTTGCATGTTTCGCCGGCCGTACTACGGCACTATCTTCCCTTCACAAATCACGGGCAACTATATCCGACCAGCAGCGTATCCTCTCTCCACCCAAACATTTCCAGTCTTGGAACACCCCCAAACACAAACTCCTACCAACCACCACACTCTAGCACCCGTAGAGCATTGAAAGAACAACGCCGCCAGCTCAAAACAATGACAGTTCTCCATCCTACAGCATGAAGAAACCGCCCGCTTGCGGAAATCGTCGCTCCCGAAACTCCACTTTTTGCGCCCCCCCCCCTTCCTCCTCCGCCACAGCCGCCCTGCCACAGTCTCTGCAACATCGTGTTTTTTCTCTTTCGACCCCCGTATCTACTATTTGCTGATGCTTACGTCTTTCGCCCCAAGCCAGGGACGAGGGAGGGGGGCGGCGAAAAAAAAACGGCATTAACGGCATGCTTTCGTTGCACCAGCCTCACATGATGCCGCGCTAGAAAAGAAAAAAGTGCGCGTATACTCCTTCGAAAGTTGCGTGGCTTTTTTGGCGTGCAAAGCGAACAGGTTGGCGAAACGCGGTCGTGCGCTAATGGGACGATCGTGTTTACCTTGTTCTGTCACCGGTGTCGGCACTTACGGTGGCTCCTGTAAGGAGGAGATGATCTTGCGTGGATAGGGTGGGTGGTGAAGATTGAGGCGGGCGTAGGTAAATTGTGCTGTGCTGTGCTGACTTACAGAAATTTGTTGAATACTGCGCCAGCGTTACTACCGCAGAAGGATATCTCTAACCCTTATTTCTCTCCCCCCCTTCTGCAGCTACAAGCCTTCACGGGTGTTATCCTATGTTGCTTGAGATTGGGGCTTGGACAAATCGTTGATACGCCACCGTTTGTCCCCACCAAAGCCAAATCTTACATGTGCAAACTTTTCTAGTGACTCGCTTCCAGCCACAATATGTATACAAGTGTAACCTGTCAGGAATGTCAGCAGTTGAATATGGTTTGACTGGATATAAACGAGCAATTGGCCTTTGCTTTTGCTCCCATGACTGCGCTAACTCTAACGCCAAGTCTGCGCCGATGTCCTCGCGAAGCGCCGGTGATGGTGGAGATTTTGGCACTGTAGAAGGGTGGGGGGGGTAGAGGTGATACCCAAAGGCATGATGACATGTTTAGAGGTAAGCATAGTCACCAATGGAATTCATCTTCACATGGTGCAATTGGAACCAAAGTATACTGAGAACATGAACAAAAAAATATATATATATTATGTTGAAAGTATCACAAGACATTTTGCAAATGAGGCACAAAGGAGTCTTGATGCCTGCTTGACTGTCTGCATCCAAGTCGGGTTGACACATGCACGCAGTTTTTATATGCCAGTCGGAAGAGAATTTGTCGCGCCGGAGGGAAGTGGTCGGAGATGATGGAGGATATGTCTGTTGAAAATGAAAAGACTCGACGGAGAGATATGTGCGTGTTGACACTCCAAGAGGGGGGTATTTGAAAATGAAAATCGCCGTAGTAGCTGTAGGATCCTGCAGCCACGAGGATGACAAATGTACGTGTGGGGAGGGTCGATCAGAGCGATGCTTGTGATGCTTGTGATGCTTGGACCGGACCCTTCTTCTTCTTCTTTTTCCTCATTGCTTTGCCCGCTCTACCGCTTGATAAAGCCGAGCATCTTTCCCTTCTTCGCTTCCTTCTTCTTCGGGTACATTTTGGATGTCACAAAGTGGACATACCAGATGACCGTGCCGAGAACCGAGAGGCCGAAGATGACCAGGAACAGTGTAATGACTGGTCGGCCGTCTGCTTCTACTGAGCGCAGAGCAGTAGGTGTGAGGATTGGTGCGAGCCAAGAAAAACTCATTTTGAGAGGAGTATCTGTCGGGGACTTTTTGTTGGTGTCGGACAGATTTGGCTTGGGCCGAGGCGGGGGTTTGCAGGGACAAGGGCAAGGCGCGTGATTACAATGGGGGAAGATGGACAGCCGGCTGCCAGTGAAGAGAATAGAATAAAAAGATATCGCCGGCGATGTGGTGAAGAATCAAAAGCAAGTGAACGTGATGTTTGTTGGGCAGCTGCGAGATAGTATCGCGAGAGTGCGACAGCTAGCGTTCATGTATCTCCACTGACAGGCACAAGGCAACGGCGCGTCAGCCAAACCCACGTCGTTTCGCCCATGAGCTGACCTCTTGGAAATCTTGGCCGCTCGCATAATGTTTACCTCAGAAGCCATACGCGTTGCGTATGGTGGCATGTCCAACGTGAGGCGGTTGTGCGATATGGCGGATGTTTCAAATTCAAGGCCGGCCAAGAGACCATGGTGAGACGCTCTCGTTGCAGGAGCCTGCAATGCCCACCCCAAGCATGATTAAGTACTGCGAGCCGGCCCCCAGCCGGGCTTCTGCATCCAAGGCCCACGCCTGTGGATCCCATCAAGTCCGAGTTTCCCGCACCACGTCGGTTACTACCGATAGTATGCTCTAAACCCGACCTGCTTTAACCGCCGCCTTCGACCCGAACGTTCCCGGGGCAGGAATGAATGACAGCGTGCCTAGGGAAAAGGTCGCCGGCGCTGCGTGCAATTGGTAGGATAAATGGGAAACCAAACTCCGAGTCGGGCATTATTGTAGTAGGTTGCCTCGGAGAATTGTGGGTAGATGAAATGAGCTACAACACAGTGTACTTTGGTGTATCCAAAGTCCGGTCGAGCACAGTCAAGCCCAGGGAAATTCAGCGAAGTCCAGTAAAATCCAGCCGAACACTATCGTGCTATAGTATGGTTTTACAGAAGATACAGGTGATGCGAGCAGTTTTGCTGCTTCTAGCACGGTATGGGCTTAGTAAAAGTCCTCACGTAAGCGCCGGCTCGGCTCGGATGTGATTGGCCAGGCGAGAGAAAGGTTCTCCTCACCAACAGTCTGCAAAAAAGAACGCGTAATTATATCAACTCTATCTCCATCCCACCTGCTTTGGCATACGTGTATAAGACAAACAACTTGGTTTGTGTAATCGCTCTCGCATTTGCTGACTTGTAGACACCTCGAACAAAAGGACCCATTTTCCTACCTGACCGCGTTGGCGCATTCCCACAGTTACTCCGCCGCCACCAGTAACATACGCCCACAGCAGCAGAACTTGCTTGTTTCAACATATAAATTCAACATGGCTCCCATGAAGATTGAAAGCCCCAAATCGCCAGTCGAAAGACCTTCCTCGCGTGGCTCACCCGATCGGGCAAAGAAGCGCGCAAGTATGTCAACAGCTTGCTCCCTGACTGCTCTTATACCCCTCTTCCTCATGCTGCTCCTGCTACTCATCGACCAAGGACAAGGCTAATGTTGCCGTACTACCCGCAGGAACACAGTCGATGCCTCCCCCAGAGCTGCCAAGACTGGTGGCAGAGCAACATGCTCCCATCCCCACCAACGACAAGGACACACAACGGCTGATTGTCGTGCTCTGCAGCGCCACACTCGAGACATACAAGGCGTCACATGGAAATGGCCGGGGACCCGGTACGCGCGAGGATAAATACAACCTGCTCAACAGTGACGACCACATTGGCGTAATGCGGAAAATGGGGCGCGACATCAGCGAGGCTCGACCAGACATTACACACCAAGTGCGTACAAGAGGGGGCTAATGGTGCTAATCAGCTAACGTGGCGACGCAGTGTCTCCTCACCCTACTTGACTCGCCAATCAACAAGGCGGGCAGGCTTCAGATCTACATCCACACATCTAAGAACGTACTCATCCGGGTCAGCCCTACGGTGCGCATTCCGCGTACGTTTAAGCGATTTGCTGGTCTCATGGTGCAGCTGCTTCACAGACATCAGATCCGGTCAACCACATCACAAGAGAAGCTCATTGAGGTGATCAAGAACCCCATCACCGATCACTTACCACCAAAGTGCCGAAAGGTAACGCTCAGCTTTGACTCGGAGGTTGTGCGAGTGAGCGACTACATTGGAAGCCTTAACAAGGGCGAGAGCATTGCCGTGTTTGTTGGTGCCATGGCCAAGGGCAACGACGACTTTGCCGACGACATCAAGGACGACAGTATTGCGATTAGCCAGTTCAACCTCAGTGCCAGCGTTGCGTGCAGTAAGTTCTGCCATGCGGCCGAGGACGTGTGGAATATCTTCTAGATGAGTGGCCAGCCAAAGGGAGGGGCCTACCTATCCATGGCCAACACGCCAACATGCCCATATGCAGCAACAGCAATAACAACAAAAAAAACAGCCGACGAGTCGGATTGGAGACCGGACTACCGCAGGACTAGGAAAAGTGATACGGGGCAGGAGCAGTTCGGGGCTTAGATTACAACATCGACAGCCAGGACGCTTACTGCATGTGATTTTGGGCGGGTGCCTGAGGTTCTTTTACAACAAAACAACTACTCTGGCTCAACGCACAAACATCAGTCTTCTTTGGAAGATGGCAGGGCAGCTCAACCTGCCCCGCACCTCGTGTTTTTCTTTAGTTTTTGTTTTACCTTTTTTTTTGTTTGTTTGTGTCTAGTGTGGCGCAGTCGGCCGAGTGGTGTGTTGGCAGTGGGCTTATGTGTGGCTGGACATTGGGCTCTACTTAGGTGGGTGGGCAGTTGTTGGGTGGTGTAGGTAATGGCGGCTCCTTTTGTCGGGACGTGTACGTGTGTGTGTGTGTGTGTGTGTGCCATAGATAGATGGCGATGGGCATGGCGAGCACGATGATCAGGAGTATCAGCAATGCAGCTGCTGGCGAATGAAAAGAAAAGTTGACGCCTTCACGTCGTGTTTGCACTGAGAGCCGTTGACGCGTGGATGACAAGTATGGGGAGCTAAGCCTGTTTGGGGGCTAGCGCGGGCGGCATGGATGGCTGGGCGGCGCGCATGCGGCGGGAGAGTGACGGGCTGGGTGAGGAGAGGGCTGGAGAGCCGCATCGCCGATCTCCCACGATGCTCTGCTCAGTGAACATGGCCAAAAACAACCACCGCACTCGACGGCAGCTTGACGCCATGTCTGCCAGCGACAGCCACCAGCCACCGTCCCGTGACCGCCTCACCAGGGCTGCCGTTCTGGGCCTTGGATGTACACCGCAGAGCCCGCCCCGTTTCGTCGCCCACGACGTCAGACCATAGCAAATAGCGCCCATTGCGGCGAGCGGTGCTGTGTCCAGACCACCTTGGACGGCAAATAGTCGACCGCACGCGACAAGCGGCTAGAGAGACAGAGAGGCATTTGCAGCGCAGCGTCATGGGCGTAGTGAAGCGTGCGGCCAGCTTAAACCACTCGCGGTTGCGGGCCGGCGGTCAGCAGCCAATACGGGCCACTGCTGCATCGCTTACCTTTACAAATTTGTTAGCCTGCAGACGCAGGACATGTGGCAGCATCTCAACTTGTTGACAGCGGCCTCCCTGATTCCCGCCTGCAAGCCTGTGGGTGCCCTGTACCACTCACTGCCTTTTCCGCACGACCAGCCAACCGGACCCGGACGCTGTGCTATACTCCCTCCACCACGCATCCACACACGGCTCCTGCACCGCGTCACTTGTGATATAAACCTCCACGTCGTACCACGACCCGGTACAGATGCTCGACTTGCCTTGCTATCACCCAAACCATTGCCACTGAAACTACCAAACTCTAAACACCCCCCTCCCTCTCCCTCACTACTCTCTACGTCCCACTGTGCTGTGTACATACATACTTGTCATCCACACAACCTTCCCCCAGCAATGCCCGTCGCCCACATAGGCCTCACAGTCGCCCATCTTCCAACCTCGACATCCTTCTTTCTCTCCGCCCTCCAGCCCCTGGGCTACCGCTACATTGGAGAGTCTGGCCACCAAATCGGACTAGGCATTCACAATGCCGACTTCTTCCTCTGCCAAGAGACGCCTGGGTACGAACCACAATTCATCAGCCCATGTACACCGCAACTAACTCCTGAGTAGCGTAAAGGCTGGTGCCGCACACATTGCCTTCACCGCTCCTAGCACAACCGCGGTCCGCAACTTCTACACCGCGGCATTGAAAGCTGGCGGTCGCCCCAACGGAAGCCCAGCCACTCGATGCGCGGAAACAGGCCACTTCAACGCTGCAGTACTTGACTTTGACGGAAACAGCATCGAGGCCGTCTACCGCAACGGGCCCGACATTGCAGAAGACGGCACCGTTTACCAGCACAGCAGAATCATCACGTGGTCGAGAACAGTCACCACAACCACCACCACTTCCACTTCCACTTCCTACCGCGAGAGCTCCTCTACCAGCAACACCTACACGTCTGCCTCGAGAACCGCACAGACGACTGCCGCACCACCACAGGCCGAGCCAGCTGTTGCAAAACCACCCACTGTAGTCCGAAGCTTCTCTGCAGACGACGTCATGTCTTCCCCCCCTCAGCAGCAGGCCGCCAAATCAGAGTCCGGTGAAGGTGCCGGCAAGCAACTCTTTGGCGCACTTCTTGGAGCCGCTGCAGGAGCTGCTGTTGCCTATGCATTCGCCCGGAGCGAACGTGACAGCGCAAAGAAAGAGGCCGAATTCAACGCTTTCCTCGATGCCAAAAGCGCGGTCAAGACGGCGGCTACTCTTTTCGCTCAGACCCCGGCGCAGCCTGAACCACCCCAGCAAACCCCACAACCCGAACCGCCAGCTCAGCCAGCGCAGCCCGCACAGCCCGCACCTGAGACGACCGCTCCGCCAAAACCTGCTCCATCAGTACACCGCAACAACGATGACAACGACGACGCGCGGTCAACCTATTCACGCGCCTCTCAGATTCCAAGGTCATCAGTCCCCCGCCAAATCGAGGCTGCCCCGGCCGACTACTACTCGCCTTCCCAGTTTGGTGCCCCAAGTGCCCTTGCCCAGGCTCGCGCCCTCGAGTATGCAAAGCCGCTTGAGATTGAGTATGCGCCCGCCTACTCTCGTGCACCTTCAGCCGCTCCCTCGAGGCTTAGGCCATCTGACCGTGCCAGCACTAGCCCCGACTTGTTGATGCTTGAGCAGGCAAGAGAGCAGGCAAGGAGCACAGTGTCGGCAGCCAGGCCAGAGCCCACATCTTCTTCGTCTTTGAAGCCACCACGACCACACAAGTCTCACAGTGTCGTCTCCAAGGCATACAGCGCAGCTCCAAGTGCTGCAGCTAGTTCTTTCATTTCTTCTTTTGTCGCCGACGATGAGGATATGCAGAGCGCTGCCGGTAGTGTTCGTTCGCATCACACGAGCAGATCAAAAGCAAAGTCCTCGCATAGCAAGCATGGTAGCAGTCGTAGGGAGCGTGAGGCTTCTCCCCCACCAGCTGAATCCAAGGTTCCTCCCAAGGTTCCTTCCAAAGCTGCCTCAATTGTCAGCAATCTCTTCAAACGTGACAAGGCCAAGACCCAAGAGGTGGTAGAAGAAGAAGAAGAAGATGAGGACTTTATTGATGACTTTGATTTTGACGACATGAGTGAAGACGATCTCGACACTGTGGTGCCCAGTGACAGCATCTCGCAGATTGGCGATGGTCCACGCCGCAGACACCGATCCCACCGTCACAAGAGCAAGGAGAATGACGATGCCGAAACCTCTGTCAGCCGCCGCAGCAGGAAGCATACCGATAACGCTGAGTCTTCGACCACCCACCGCAGCAAAAAGCATGCTGATGACGACGAGTCCACCATCAGCAAATCGTCCAGGCGCTCTCATCGCTCTCGTTCTCACAGGACACCTGACTCGGCCGAAGACGATGAATCTCTGCGTCCCCACCGTTCCTCCCGGTCCTCCAAGTCCAAAGCTGCTCACGCATCCGAACCCAGCGAAGTCTCTACCGTACGCCCCGTCAAGACATCATCCTCATCCTCGTCCGGCAAGTCTCGCAAGGATAGCCTGACCCAAGGACAGTACGATCATCTCTTCGACGAGGTCCAGTACGGAACCGGCAGCGTGCGCGCATCCAGGCATCCTCCTTCCCCCAGCATGGTTAGTGCTGCACGCAAGAACCCGATGCGTAGTATGATTAGCTTTAATCATGCGCAAAAGGTGAGGAACTTTGAGGGAAGCCAGGCTGGCATGTCGCGTGATAGGGACGACTAGGGTCATGTGAGTGGAGAGACACAAAAGTGTGTGTGAGAAGTGGTACAATCCGTTTCTTTTGCCTCTTTAGACACTCTTGCATCATCGCATCGTACCTTGTTTCCAATGCTTGTTGTTATTTTCCTTTTCTGGTCAGATTGCTGCTACTTACTGTACTGTTGCTTTTTTTTGTTTGTTTAGAGGCAACCTCCCTTTTTTTCTGTATCCGCGCACTTTGCTATTACATAAACTTAGCGTCTTTGTTTGGCATTGTCATGCACAGCGGCATTGGGCACGGCGTTTTTTTTTTGGTTTCCTTTTCTATTTACACTTCTTACATTCCTTTTTTGAGCTTGAGTTGAACTCTTGCATGTTTATAGAATTTGGTGTGTCTGTGTATTGGTGTATGAACATATATTATGGAAACGAAAACTATGAAAAATGAGAAGAATGAAAGAAATGGGTATATGAGGGATGGGATGGGATGGGATTAGGTATTGGGAATAGAACTATTATACTGTTACTTGGGTTATCAACTTTGTTCTTGAAAGTCCTCGTGTTGCTGTTATCCATTCTATGCTTACAAGGTGAACACACAAAACCTGCAGATCATGCTATGTACGTACATATATAAAAAAAATCGCATGGGGAGAAAAAAAATTTGGATTATACAAAAACACTACAACCCAAACTCCCATCAGATTTAACCCCCCCAAAACGAAGCAAAAATACTAACAATCACTCATACATCCCTCTTCCTCCCTATGCCCACCCGCAATCCCCATCCCCTCCTCTCAAACCGTCCTCCCCCTCCCCTCCCCCCT